AAATGTTAACAGAATTTTTTTACAATCGGTACCCCATACTCCGCTGCTTGCACAAATCAAAAGTTTTGATGCTAAATGTGTTGAGATGATGTGGAAACATTGAAATAAATTTGTGGAAAATTTGCTGCCCCAGTGCTTGCTTACGGTTTAACCAATCAAAATTCTGCTGCTAACTTTTGATCCTATGTGTGTTGAAATGATAATGATAATAATGACAAATGGACAAATCTGTGAATTGGTCGAGGCTGGTTTATTATTTTATGTTTTTGTGATTTTCCCATTGACACATAATGTACTCCACATTATGTGTCAATGGGAAAATCACCGGGTTGCCATGTCATCGCCAAGGCAACCCGGTGGAAACGAATTCATACACCTAATTTACTTTTTGAATCACAATGTAATAATGGCAGCATTTCAAACATTTTGACTAAACAAATGTTCTTTATGCTCGTGTAAAACTTTGGCTCACTCTGTAGGGGCGCTAATACTGTATTTTCATGTTTTTCATGTTCAGCAGACCGAGAACCCAGCAGACCCCAGAACAACCAATTCAAATTGGGCGTTAATCAAAGTTTTGCGACTTTGTATGTGTGCATGGGAGCAAATTTGAAATTCTCAAACTTGCGGGTGGGAGTCCACCGTTTGTGAATAAAAGCAACACTTGATTTGTAAATGTTTTTTACAATACGTTTGATTTATTGATTAATGGCAGTATGATTTAATTTAATATATATTTTGTAGGCTACAAAACAAATAACAAAATTAGTATCTCAATCGTATTTTATCCACTGGTACCGCTGTTGCTTGACTTCGGCCTCTTCGTTGTTCCCGCTGGCTTCTCTGCCTTGCAGCGAGGTGGGTCTGCTGCCGCCTCCTGCTGACTCTTCTTCAGACACACTTTGTTCTGTGACTTGTGCTTCTGGTTCCTCTGCTGCTGTTCTTCTCCCGTTTTCACTTGCTACCTGAAGTTCATCAGGCCTTAGTGTATGTATTTCTATTTGCATTTTGTCTCACAAAAAACAAACTCCAAAAACATAAATGTTTTGCCAGAACTGAATTTGTGCAAAATTTTGCAACTATTTGTGCACGTTCAGGGGGTCAAAATGAGGTTCACAGCACAGAAGAAAAAAAGGATTTTTTTTTTTTTTTTTATATCTCTTGCGTAAAATAATTATTTTAAGGCGTTAGAGTTCACCCACGCAATCGTTGCGTTTTGGCGAGTAACGGGCACTGACGCGTCCGTCACTCACCGCAACCTTGTGCATTTACCATTGTGAAAGCAATCGGCCCTTACGCCAATTTGTCGCTCTGGTCTAATAACCACTAATCCACTATTTTCACTTTTACAAATAGGATTTTTATTACAATAGTGATGTGAAGTTCAGGCACAAACATATGTTAGTAATTAATCAAAGTTAGAAAAGTTCAAACTGAACCGAACTGACTCGTCCAAACACCACATATTAAAGACCAGGATCCAGATTTAGATTTAAGTTGTTGGCTTTGGACAAGTCTCAAGGAACTAAAGGTTTGGACACTGTAGGTTTAGAACATGATTTTATCAGACCCCTCACGTCCATCAAATTCCAGACCTGGTCCAGGTCTGGATCAAAGCTTGGCTCTAGTCTGGAAGAAGCTCATGACAGCGTTGAAGCACTCGTCTGAGGTCCACCTCTCCTTCAGGAGCTCCACTTCAGCGTCGTTCACTTTGTGAAGAAGAGCCTTCTCTGAGCCTCGGATCAGCTGCTTGGACAGGGACAGGGACTAGGGAGAGAGGCCACACATCAAGTTAGCAATCAGCAGGCATTTTACCTCAAATTAGTGGTTGTGCTTCAAAGCTCTCTCACTCTGGTCTCTCTCTCTCTGGTCTCTCCCTCTCTCTCTGGTCTCTGTGTGTTTGCTCACATTGGGGGGCAGCTGGGCGTAGGTCTTCAGTCGAGTCCAGACCTCAGTCTGGAACGTGGCGTCAGGAAACACCTCTGTCACCAACCCCAGAGCACAGGCCTGAGCCGCCGTCAGCTTCTTATTAAAGAGCAGCATCTCACAGGCCTGAAACACAGCAGCCTGAGAGCCCTGAGAGGCACTTTCTGACCCCCGGGGCTGATCTGAAGATACTCACCTTAGCGTGTCCCATGAGTTTGGGGAAAGTGTAGGAGGAGCATCCCTCAGCGCTCTGTCCAAGCTGAGAGAAGGGCGTGTGGAAGGAGGCCTAAAGACACAAGAACAGCTCTTCTATCAGCTTCACTCAGTCACACAGCTCTTCTATCGGCTCCATACCCTTTCAGTGGCATACACCAGGTCAAAAAGCCCCATCACGGTGACGGAAACGCCCACCGCCGGCCCGTTCACCACGGCAACCAGCGGCTTGGGGAAGTCAATGTACGCCTTTATATAATTCCTGCAGACGACACACGGTCATACAAAAGATATTTAGTGACAATAGTGAGTTAGCAACGTTATATTGCGTATATTAAGTTGTCCTCTTGCGTCCTCAGTGTTCCTGTCCTTGTTATTCATATTGTTGTCTCTTTCTCACATTCCTTCCAATGATTTTCTGGTGCTGAATGCCCTTTGCGTTTCGCCGAACATATGTGTGTATATATATATATATATATATACATACATACACACACACACACACACACACACAGTGCCTTGCGAAAGTATTCGGCCCCCTTGAACCTTTCAACATTTTGCCACATTTCAGGCTTCAAACATAAAGATATAAAAATACTTTTTTTGTCAAGAATCAACAAGTGGGACACAATCGTGAAGTGGAACGAAATTTATTGGATAATTTAAACTTTTTTAACAAATAAAAAACTGAAATGTGGGGCGTGCAATATTATTCGGCCCCCTTGCGCTAATACTTTGTAGCGCCACCTTTTGCTGCAATTACAGCTGCAAGTCGCTTGGGGCATGTCTCTATCAGTTTAGCACATTGAGAGACTGGAATTCTTGACCATTCTTCCTTGCAAAACAGCTCGAGCTCAGTGAGGTTGGATGGAGAGCGTTTGTGAACAGCAGTCTTCAGCTCTTTCCACAGATTCTCGATTGGATTCAGGTCTGGACTTTGACTTGGCCATTCTAACACCTGGATACGTCTATTTGTGAACCATTCCATTGTAGATTTGGCTTTATGTTTTGGATCATTGTCCTGTTGGAAGATAAATCTCCGTCCCAGTCTCAGGTCTTAGCAGACAGGTTTTCTTCCAGAATGGTTCTGTATTTGGCTCCATCCATCTTCCCATCAATTTTAGCCATCTTCCCTGTCCCTGCTGAAGAAAAGCAGGCCCAAACCATGATGCTGCCACCACCATGTTTGACAGTGGGGATGCTGTGTTCAGGGTGATGAGCTGTGTTGCTTTGCATTGTGGCCAAAAAGTTCGATTTTGGTTTCATCTGACCAGAGCACCTTCTTCCACATGTTTGGTGTGTCTCCCAGGTGGCTTGTGGCAAACTTTAAACAAGACTTTTATGGATATCTTTGAGAAATGGCTTTCTTCTTGCCACTCTTCCATAAAGGCCAGATTTGTGCAGTGCACGACTGATTGTTGTCCTATGGACAGACTCTCCCACCTCAGCTGTAGTTATCTGCAGTTCATCCAGAGTGATCATGGGCCTCTTGGCTGCATCTCTGATCAGTCTTCTCCTTTGAGATGAAAGTTTGGAGGGACGGCCGGGTCTTGGTAGATTTGCAGTGGTCTGATACTCCTTCCATTTCAATATAATTGCATGCACAGTGGTCCTTGAGATGTTTAAAGCTAGGGAAACCTTTTTGTATCCAAATCCGGCTTTAAACTTCTCCACAACAGTATCTCGGTCCTGCCTGGTGTGTTCCTTTGTCTTCATGGTTCTCTCTGCGCTTTAAACAGAACCCTGAGACTATCAAAGAGCAGGTGTCATTTATACGGAGACTTGATTACACACAGGTGCATTCTATTTATCATCATCAGTCATTTAGGACAACATTGGATCATTCAAAGATCCTCACTGAACTTCTGGAGTGAGTTAGCTGCACTGAAAGTAAAGGGGCCAAATAATATTGCACGCCCCACTTTTCAGTTTTTTATTTGTTAAAGTTTAAATTATCTAATAAATTTTGTTCCACTTCACGATTCTGTCCCACTTGTTGATTCATGACAAAAAATTAAAATTTTATATCTTTATGTTTGAAACCTGAATGTGGCGAAATGTTGAAAGGTTCAAGGGGGCCGAATACTTTCGCAAGGCACTGTAGTATACAGTACAGACCAAAAGTTTGGACACACCTTCTCATTCAAAGAGTTTTTTTATTTTATTTTCCTGACTATGGAAATTGTAGAAGGCATCAAAACTATGAATGAACTCATACATAGAATTATGTATGTTCTTAAAAACAAAGTATGAAACAACTGAAAATATGTTTTATATTCTAGGAAAGGTTCTTCAAAGTAGCACCTTTTGCTCTGATTACTGCTTCGCACACTATTTGCATTCTTTTGATGAGCTTCAAGAAGTAGCGACCTGAAATGGTTTTCCAACAGTCTTGAAGGAGTTCCCAAAGAGCACTTGTTGGCCCTTTCGCCTTCACTCTGTGGTCCAGCTCACCTCAAAACCATCTGGATTGGGTTCAGGTCCGGTGACTGTGGAGGCCAGGTCATTTGGCCCAACACCCACCATGTATAGGGCGACAGTGGCTCAGTTGGTAAAGCATTGGCCATAGAGCCTGAGGGTCGTGGGTTCGAGTCCACCACAAGACCTACTTCACGACTCCCACTGATAACTGCTGTTGTGTACTTGGGCAAGACACTTAACCCCACTTTGCCTGAAGCCCCTGCTGACTAATCAAGGCTCCTGTGGACTCACCACCTGCCGGAGGATTAGTGAGGGGCTGGTACTTAGTGTACTGGGTGCAGCTTTACCATCCCCCTGACCCAGAAATGGATTAAGGGGAAGAAAATGGATGGATGGTTGGACATACAGATGTACATATAAATCTATGTTTCTGGTTCTATAATGGGGTACACTAATAACCATATTAAAAGGGGGCAGTCAGCCCAGTTAACCTTACAGTCGGTCGCTGGGATGACTGGGCCTGGGAAGGCACGTCATGTGTGACGTTGTGACACGCTCCTGAAGGAAGTATCCGTCGAAACTTGTCTGGGAAATGTCATTGCTATCTTACCATTGTCTGGTATAGAAGAACCCAATACCTTTATTTCTACCATGAAGACGAGATGAACCTTCCAAACCTACACGGTCATACTGTAAAGCTGGGGTACGCAACATTAAAGCTGGGGTGTGTAACTTTCAGACCACATCAATAGATGCATGGAACCCATGTTCCATGCTTTAAAACAGTTTCACATCATGTTTTTTTGGCCTTGATCACAACCCAAAGGGCTTTTTTATAAACAAAGTTTTAAACATGCGTCATTCATTATACTGAAGTTATGTTCCCCAGCTCTAAGTAGTTTAAAATGTATTTATTTATTAACTGTTGCTTTATGGCTTGAATAGTTACGGGCCCATGATAAGTCCTGGTCCAGTCCTGGTCCTGCCCTTGTGCAGACCTGAGCAGCTCCCCTCCCTTGTCTGCCATCTCCTTCACTCCTCCGTCTGGGATCTTGGTGAAGTTTGTCAGATCGTTCCCACTGCAGTAAAAGTCTCCAGCACCTGGGAACAAGGCAATTTGGTTCTGATGAAAAAGAACATGGACAGAAGTTGAGAAGGGAAATTTTGACTCTGATGAACGAGACCATGAACATAAGCTGAGACAGGACATTTTGGCTCTGCTGAACGAGAGCGTACTTTACCTGTGAACACCGTGAGCACGGACGAGTCACTAGAGGCCTGGTCCAGAGCCGCGATGATCTCATTGTACATCTGGAACAAGACCTGGGTTAGACCTGCTCTCTCAGTCCCGGTCTCGGTCCAAGTCCTAGTCCTGGTCCTGGTCCTGGTCCTGGTCCAGACCTCAGTAGTGATGGCGTTCTTCTTCTCTGGGCGGTTCAGTTTGATGGTTGTGATTTGATCTTCTGTCGTCACCAAAAGAGTCTCAAACTGAGGACTCCCAGCAGGCTTTGCGGACACAGAGGCGGGACTTCCTCCTTCTGCTGCTACTAGAGAGCCAATCAGATCACAGTACTGCTGACGGGCATCTTCCTGGAGTCAGTATAACAAAAACAAAAGAGAGACCAGGGTGATACTAGAGAGAGGCTAAAGAGAGACTATAGAGACAGACCATAGAGTGTGACCAGAGAGAGTGACTAGGATGCTTTAGCACTCAAGCTTTGGAACAGTAAAAGTTTTAAATATATGTCCCCCAGACCTGCGTGGTGTCCCCCAGAGCGCTCCATGCGTCCCACTTGGCTCGGTTGATGAAGTCCAGCATGCCGGGGCGGCTTGTGGTGCAGCGACCCGAGGTCGACTGTTTGAAAAGAGCATAGATCTGCAGTTTGGTCTCGTTCCCCGGATCTTTCTTCAGAGTCGCCAGTCTGGTCTTGGCCTCTTCAAACTGCTCCACTGTGGCCCCTGCAGTGGAACCTGGTTTAGACCTAGCCTGGTCGTGCCACACCTTAGTACAAATTGCATTTCATACTAAGGTCTGGATTTGCTCCATTGAGCCTTCCGCGCTCTCTGAGTAGCCGGTCGAAATATGACCGATTGTATTCGCTAACACAGGGACTAGACCCAGACGTTACATGCAGTGAAATGATGATTGAGCGGAGTGTACGGATGGCTATGGCCAGGCTAGTTTAGACCTAGTTTAGAGTTGCTTTAAGACCTGCTCTAAGATCTGCCCTAAGATCTGCCCTAAGATCTGCTTTAGGATCTGCTTTAGGATCTGCTTCAGGATCTGCTTTAGGATCTGCTTCAGGATCTGCTTCAGGATCTGCTTCAGGATCTGCTTCAGGATCTGCTTCAGGACCTGCTTCAGGATCTGCTTCAGGATCTGCTTCAGGACCTGCTTCAGGACCTGCTTTAGGACCTGCTTCAGGATTTGCTTCAGGACCCGCTTCAGGGCCTGGTTTCGGATCCGGTTCGGACCCGGTTTGGACCCGGTTCGGACCGAGTGCGGACCTGGTTCAGACAGAATTTGGACCTGGTTCAGACAGAATTTGGACCTGGTCCAGTTAAAGTGAACCAGACTTGGTCTAGTCCACATGAACGCTCCCGGACTCACCCATCCTCAGAGATACAGCTGAATGGAATTTCACAGACGAAGACGGATATCTGAAAATCACAAAGACTATATGAAACCACAGCTCTCTGAAGCTAAGCAGTGCAGAGATTGGGCAGAGATGTGATGGGAGCACGTTTCAGTCATAGTCAATGCAGTTTAATTGTAAATCGCTTTGTGACTCTGGTCTGAGAAAGGCGCTATACAAATAAAGATGACTTACTTAATTACATTTATTGAAACCCTAAATCACAACAATAGTCGTCTCGGAGGACTTCACAAAGTGGTTGATCATAGAACCTGTTGGAACACAGGAAATGCAGAACAAACACATGGGAGCCATTGGTCCAAAGGGAGACGGATCACCACTGTCATCTGACAGCCACACACACATCAGTCCGCCACAAGGCAGCTGCGTGAATATACTACACATTATAATGATTGTACATTATCCTAACAGCCACTATCTCTAGTCTGTATTAAGCAAATCAGTACGGAATGTTATGTAGTTATTACGGTTTTATCAAGGGGAGGATGTGGGACAAAGGTCTCTCCCTCTCTCTCACACACACACACACACACACTTTTAATTATGATATCATGGTAAACCAGCATCAGTTTTTTTTCCAGACAAGTGGTGTCCATTTGATTTCATTATAACAAAAAGGAGGCAACCTTTAGTCTCGTCCATGTCAAAGTATGGATCATGAATGTGACCTCTGCTCCAGCCAAAACAAACTCATAAAGTCTGCAATAGTGTCATTAATGTGGATTCTTACCGCGACACACGGAGCAGACGCCGCAGAGCAAAGGTTCCGAGGGCGACCCGAGACATGGAGCACAGGGGACTGGGGCAAAGTACACAGAAGTGGGGAGAGCAGGAGGAGGACACGGGGGGCACGGTGTTAGCGGTGTTAGCAGCGTTAGCTTAGCATTAGCTTAGCATTAGCAGCTCTTTTTACATCCGCAACTCCGCATCAGCTTCAACGTGTTTTCTTTAGGTTATTTTTTCATTTTTTTATTTTATTTGAATGAGATTTAACTGATATTGAGCGAGGAGTCTGTATTGTTGTTATGTTATAGAATCAGAACATAAAACTTAAAAAGTTAAATTAAGTGGGCGACAATGGCTTTTGGGCCAGAAAGTTGTGGGCTCGTTAAACCGTACTGGGACGGTGGGAAAGCGGCATAGTTACCGCGGTAAAGAGGCCCGGCTTTTTGGAGTCAGCGGTGAAGAGGTCCGCACATTAAAAGCATAGACTTCTTCTGGATTGGATTGATGCACAAGCTCAGCTCACGCTGCTCAGTGCGGCCATCTTTTAACCTGGTTTTAAACATTTTGTCAGAGAGGAGGCCTGTCTCACATCTTCAGGAAGACTGTTCCAGATTTTAGCAGCATGAATCTGAAAAGCAGCCTCCCCATGTTTAGTTCTGACTCTGGGCACTAACAGGAGTCCAGTCCCTGTGCTCCTCAGAGTCCGGGCTGGTTCATATGGGACTAACATGTCACTAATATATTTTGGTGCGAGGCTATGGAGAGACTTGTACACAAGCAGAGCTGTTTTAAAGTCTATTCTTTGAGCCACAGGAAGCCAGTGCAGAGACCTGAGAACTGGACTAATATGGTCGTACTTCCTGGTTCTAGTCAGAACTCGAGCTGCTGCATTTTGAATGTACTGCAGCTGTTTTACAGCCTGTTTGGACAGACCTGTGAGCAGGCCATTGCAGTAGTCTAACCTACTGGAGACAAATGCATGGATAAGAATCTCCAGGTCTGCTTTAGACACTATGTTTTTGATCCTGGCAATGTTTTTTAGATGGTAAAAAGCTGCTGATGTTACTGATTTGATGTGGCTATTAAAATTTAAGTCTGAGTCCAGTATTACCTAGGGCTGGGCGATATGGCAAAAAAAAAAAATCTCCGATTTTTTCACACCAAATCCGATTTTTGATTTTAATCGATTTATTTTTTTCTATTTAAAAACAAACTACAACTGACAAAGAAATAGATTTTCCTTTATGCAGTTCAATCTAAATCCCCATGGAGCATAAGTGTAACAGGAATTAAGCCTTAAAACATGCTCGTAAACGAGATGGCTCTGCCATTGTAAACAGTGAAAATGTAGCTTAACAGTTTTATAATAACTTCACTTACAATGACACTATGCACCTTCAAAATAACTTAAATCACACAAACAAGGCCCATCGCAAATATATCAATCCTATTAAACACATGCATTATTTACATGAAATATCACATTTTTAAAACTGATTACTCAAAATAGAAATGTTGTAACAGACAGTCTTTTCCAAAAGCCTCCTCGGGTTTTCATGCTTGTTCTTTCAACTGTGCCTGAGTAACTGTGCTGTAGTACAACGCTCGGTCCAGCTGGTGGCGCTAATACTAACTTCAGTGACTCCCGCATTGTGCGAGCTTCCTGTTTACATTCTGATGCTGTAGCTAACAGCTACTGTAGCAGCTACTGTAGCTAACAGCTACTGTAGCTAACAGACAGCGGGGAACACGTTGTTTGTATCAGAGCAATGAGAGCAATATGTGAGACGTGTCTTTCCCCAAAGTGCAGCGGCTCAGTGGGACACGAGTGTGTGCGCGCCACGGACACGGGAGTGCGCTTTGGAATAACGAGCGTGAGAGCGTGAAAGATGTGGCGTACGAACATGGCATACGAACATAGCGACCGGGGCTTGCGTGCGTGTGTGTGTGTGTTCTGGCGATTTAAATAAAGTCTGATTCTCGAACGTTTGAAGTGTTATTGCAACAGCACCAACTGTGAGAGCGAGCATCAGGCCAGAGGGAGACTGTTAGCATTAGGTTAGCTTCAAAATGACTGCTCAACACCATAGACCCGCGGTTAGCGCGTTAGCGCTGTAGTTCTGCAATGGAGAAAATAAAAATCGAATTTTAAAAAAAAGAAATCGCCCTAAATGTAAAACTTGAATTAATGATTAAAATCGATTAATCGCCCAGCCCTAGTATTACCCCTAGATTTCTGACCTTGTTTGAAGGTTTTAGGGAGAGAGACTGTAGGTGACAGATGACGCTCTCTCTTTGTTTCTGGGGACCAAAGACAATCATTTCAGTTTTGTCTGCGTTTAGCTGAAGGAAGTTGTTTTGCATCCACTCACTGATCTGTTGGATACAGTGAAGGAGTGAGTCCACTGGTCCATGTTCTCCTGCAGTCAGTGAGACATAGATCTGAGTGTCGTCTGCATAGTTATGATAGGACACTTTGTTTCTGCGTATTAACTGACCTAACGGCAGCATGTAGAGATTGAACAGAAGAGGTCCCAGGATCGACCCCTGTGGGACTCCACAGGTCAGGGCCATATGATCTGAGACACAGTTTCCAATCTCCACAAAGTACTTCCTGTCTTCAAGGTAAGACCTAAACCAACTTAGGGCGGTGCCAGTGACGCCAACCCAGTCCTCTAGTCTCCGTAAGAGGATCTCATGGTCGACGGTGTCAAAGGCAGCACTTAGATCTAACAAGATTAAGATTGAGACTTTGCCTGCGTCAGTGTTCAGCCGGATATCGTTTGTAACCTTAACGAGAGCAGTCTCAGTGCTGTGGTGGGGTCTAAAGCCGGACTGAAACATATCAAATGAGTTGTTGATTATAAGAAATCTAGTAAGCTGTAGGTAGACAACTTTCTCAAGTACCGTAGCATCGAGACTGCTCTTTTTTAGCAGGGGCCTGATGACTGCAGTTTTCAGGGCCTTTGGGAATATTCCAGAATGAAGGGACATGTTTACTATCTGTGTGAGTGAAGGTAACAGACTGCTCAGAACAGACTTCAGAAATCTAGTGGGTAGTACATCCAAGCTGCATGTGGAGGAGCTCAAACTGGAGATTATCTCTTGGACAGTTTTATCATTTACAGGTGCAAAGTGAGTTAGCTCAGAGAGCCTTTCTGGCTGTTGGATTGTTATCTGTGGATTGGAGACAATGGCGTTTTTGATGCCTTGAACCTTGTCATTGAAAAAATGTGCAAACTCATTGCATTTACGTTTGGAAGTTAGCTCTAATGGCATTTGAACAGGGGGGTTTGTTAATCTATTAACTGTTGAAAACAGAACACGCAGATTGTTGCTGCAGCCTTCAATCATTTCAGAAAAATACCTTTCTCTCGTACTACGTAGCACCCGGTTAAACTCGCACAACTTATCTTTGAAGATCTCGTAATCTACCTGGAGGTTGGACTTGCGCCACTTCCGCTCGGCCCTCCGGCACTTTCTCTTTTGTGCCCTGACCGAGTCTGCTTTAGCCCACGGCGCCTTCTGCTTATTTTTCACTATTTTAACCTTCACAGGGGCAACGGTATCCAGAACATTCAAAACACTAGAGGTGACAGAGTTAAACAGTTCATCTACAGTAGAATACGATGCATTCTCAAAGTTTATCATTTCCATAAATAGTTCACTCGTATTTTCATTTATGCGCCTTCTTCAAACAGTTGCAGAGTCCACTGGTGGTTTGTTAGTGAAACACATGTCAAAAAAAACACAGAAATGATCCGAAAGAGCAACATCGACCACGTTTACATTTGAAATAATCACCCCCTTTGTAACTAACAGATCTAGAGTGTGCCCTCTGCTGTGGGTGGGGCCACTTACGTGCTGAGTGAGATCAAAGGATTCAAGCACAGAACTCAGCTCATTTGCATTTCTGTCATCAACATTATCCACATGAATATTAAAATCACCTGTAATAACCAAACTATCAAAATCTGTGCATACAACTGAAAGCAACTCGGTAAAATTATCAATAAAACTGTGACATGACTGCGGTGGCTTGTATAGGACAACGAAGAGTATTGGAGGAGATTGTTTTTGTTGTATTTTAAAAGACACATATTCAAATGACGAAAACTTCCCTAGAGACATTCTATGGGAGACAAAGTGGTCTCTAAAAATGGCAGCTAAGCCTCCTCCTTTTTTGTTTTCCCGTATTTCAGATTCAAACTTGAAATTTGGTGGTGATGCTTCTATTAAAACTGCATTTTCTGAATTTTGGTCAAGCCAAGTTTCAGCCATGAACATAACATCAAGATTATGAGAACAAATAAAATTATTGATTAAAAAAGATTTGTTACAAAGAGATCTGACATTAAGCGTAGCAAGTTTCAAAGTTTCAGTATCAGCGGTTGCGGTCGGCTGATTCTTATACGGAACAAGAATTAGATTTTCCAGATTAGACTGATTAACTCCAGATGTTTTTCTGTAATGTATTCTTTGTGTTATCACTAAGGGAATGGCACAGGTGGCTTCATGACAGGGCCCCAGCCGGCCGGGTCTCTCCTCTAACTAGACTGCCAGTGGCTGCGAAGCAGAGACCCTGTGCATCCTAGTGTTTAGAGAAAAGAGGGGAAGGGGAAGGCAGGGGAGGAGGATGGAGAGGTGGGTGGCTTTTGGGTGTTGAACGAGGGGGGCAGGGAGGTGGAGGGGTTTTAGGTGATGGGTTAGGGCCGGGGTGGGCTGAGGCAGAGGTTTTGGATGTTGAACGAGGGGGAAGTGGGGGTGGAATGGTCATGAGGTTAGGGGAGGGACTGGCTGAGGTGGTTTTTGTAGGTGAATTGGAAACCCTAGGTGGTTTTGGAGGTACATATGGGGAGTGGTTTAGCATGTTGGACAGGACTCTAGATCGAGCTAATATGGGTGTGAGAGGAATAGTCTTCATCGCCGATTTTATTAGCCCTGCAGAGTGTTCAGGTAGGTCTAATAGTGAAGGCGGGGATGAAAAACAAAGGGAGGTGTCCCCATTCTCTCTTGATGGAGTGGACGTGGCAGGGGGGACCCAAGACAGGTCCATGGGAGGTGGCGAGGGAGTCTTTGATGGAGGGGCAGGTGGTTGAGGAAACCCCAGCACAGGCCTGTCTGCTGTAGGCTGGGGTGAGGATGGGGGCTTCAGAGGCGCTGTAGATGAAGAAGGCGTGGCTGCTTTGGAGCAGGCTGGGGATGAGGATGTTGGTGGTGGTGGTCGTGCTGCTGGTGCTGCTACTGGTGATGATGCAGCTGCTGCTGGTGATGATGCAGCTGCTTCTGATGACAGTGGAGGTGTTGAGATCCTTCGAGGTGGTGGTGGTGTTGAGATCCTTTGAGGCGGTGATGGTGTTGAGATCCTTCGAGGTGGTGGTGGTGGTGTTGAGATCCTTCGAGGTGGTGGTGGTGTTGAGATCCTTCGAGGTGGTGGAGGTGCAGAGACTTTTGGAGTTGGCTTCCTCCCTTTCAATGGCTGCACGCGCTGCGCAGGCTGAGGTGTCAGGGCAAAAGAAAGGTTATCCATCAACACTTTTACTCCGTAAGTGTTCAGATGTGGCCCTTTCCCTTCAAAAAGCTCATGCCTATTCCAGAACAGATTAAAATTCTCAATGAAGGCAAGTCCTCTGCGTGAACATTCGTTGAGTAGGAAAGTATTTAGCTGATACAGACGACTGAATTTCATTTGCTTCCCGTCCACATTTGGTAGTGGGCCACTGATAACGATTGTTGCGTCCATTTTAGCAAGGTCGTCCAATAAGAGAGAGTAATCCCGTTTCAACTTTTCACTTGTGTTGTCATAGACGTCTACTGCCCCCACGTGGATCAACAATCTTTTTACCCCGCCGGTCTCAGACAGAAGCCTCGGAGCCAACCGCCTTATCTCATCCACTTTGGCAGAGTGTACTGAGTGAACCTTGAGATTACGCATATTTACATTTCTTATCGCCGAATCCCCGATAAAGAGCGACTCAGCTGCATTTGACCTTGACTGAGACTGAGACTGGGACTGAGAGACTACTGCTGATTCATCTTCCAAAAGTGGTGAAAAGCGGTTTCTTGTAATTAAAGATTTTTGCTGTGGCATTATGACACTCTTGTTATCATTAGCTTTGCCTTGTTTGGGCTTGGCATCATATGTGTTCCAACAATTGTCTCTGTTGATTTTGGGAAATGAAATAGCGTCATCATAACTTACGTGCTGTCCATTTGGTCCATTTCCTTTCACTGGTATTGTTGTGTTCAGCCCCAATTCTGATTCAAGCACAAACATTCGGTCTTGAAGAAGTTTTAGCTCCTGTTTGAGTGAAAAACAGCCGTCGCAAAGTTTTGTTCTATTTTCCCGTCCTCCCGACATGCTGTAAGTTAGGTAAATTCCACCAGTCTTGTGTTGAAGTTTGTAAAAAGGAGTAATCTGTGTTTTGTGGAATAAAAATGTAAGCAAAAATGATTAAAGGAGATAAAAAAGCAGCAAGCGAGGAGCAGCAAGAGAATGCGACTGCTCTGTCCAGCAGTCGCATTAGTTACTCTCTATGGTTAAGTCACTTTGATTCTACTTTAAAGAACATTTCTATACATGCTGTTGCTAATGTCCCTCAGACAAAAGCAAGCGCAATGATTCAGTTTACTTCTCTAATTTGTGTTTTTATCAAATCTAATCCTGATCAATGTAATTACTTCACACAGTACAAAATCAAAACATCAAAACAAAAAATGTCAAGACAGGCCAATTAAGTCCATGACAATATAGAATTCAAATGAACATTTCTGGTCTCAAAAAATACTGATTCAAATAAAGATTCAAGTGATAGACAATTAAAAATATTTGTTTACATTGGAGTAAAATGCTTTTTTCTCATGTTCTGCTTTTTCATGTATCTATATGTAAATGTGAATGTGTAAGTGTATGATTGTATGTATGTGTGTGTGTGTGTGTGGATGTGTGTAGGGTGTGAATTTTGGGGTTGTGTCTCCAGACTCCTCGAACCACCTGTAGGTGTCAAAGGTCACACTGTGGTGATGCAAACCAACTGGACACACTCTCAACTCCCCTCCAGGTCTCTCCCTGATGCTCCACCCATCACGTCTCCAGACACCTCTCTCTACCCCGCTCTCTTACACCCACTCAGTTCTGGAGTGGCGTGGGGAGGGGCAAGGAGGTGGCATTTTCCTTTGGTCTTTCATCTGTGACCTGTGCCTGGGTGGGCGTTGCTGGGCTCCTGTGGTCTGAGCTCTCAGTGTCCACTCCCGCAGTCCAGTGACCCTGTACAGTGTGTGCCCTTGGTTCTGGAACTAAAACCTTATAGTCAAATTCAAAACAACAGATATCAGTATGTGAGTGAGATTGTTTTCTCTCTGAAGTCTAAACAATTTTGGAGCGCTCTGGGTTTTCCAACATGCGCTATATAAATAAAGATTACTTATTATCTTACTAATGATGACATTTTAAGACCAGAAACTCTCTTAATAAAAAACAAGACTTAAATCTCAAAAAACCTTCAAACTTTAAAATATGTATTATGTACTTTTGTACTGTGTGTTTAATTATCTATGCGTTCTTGGGTTTCTTCAAAGGCACCATGAAATGAAATTATGAAAAATCTCTATAAAAATGAAAATTAATTTGGAAAACATTAAAACAAAACTTGAAAACATGAAATCAAATCAAAAGATGAACTAAACTGGATTTATCACTTTATGGAATTTCCCTTTTACACTTGAACATTTATCTCAGCATATATTCTACTAATTTAAAATAATTGCAGCATTTTCAAATTAAGTCAATATGAATTGGAGCACATTTCAGAGCAGTCTCTGTGCTGTGGCATCAGCAGCAGGAGCAAGGTCAGGTGTGTAGTCAAAACAAAAAAGTCACCGCTTGCAATGTGAATTGGGTGAATTGAGTAGAATTTAACTCAATATAATACTTTTACAATTAATCCTAATTCCCTCTTTCTTTTCAGACGAAGTCTATGATCAATAATCACTTTTAACACAGATTCTAATTTAAATGTTTGAAAAACGGCTTTTGTAACTAAAATAAAAATACATGAAAAAATTCTCACAAACAGCTATGAAATATATCAGAGATACAATAATGGACTCAAAAAATAAGCAGCAGATTTAAAAAGAAAAGCAAAGCTTTTTTGTACTAATCTTTGGATTTCAAAAAACATATAATATTCAAAACTTCTTTTTACTAAATGGTGTTTAAAACGTTTAACTGTGTCATAACACAATGTTCAATTGCAAATTTTGCAAATTTAACGGAGTAACAACTATCAAAAGCCAAAATCCTGAAGGCAGGTTTGTTTTGATTCAGAGCCAGAGCAGCAAAGGAGGGGGCCGTTTCCCCTGACAACGGCAGCAAGATAGAGCGGCGCACACACACAGGCAGAAAGATACAGAAGAAGAACTTTCAAGATGACTTTTTTAAGCAAATATAACTGATGTTGTAGTTTATACTTTTGTCATCCAAGTCTAGAAATGATCACTTTCCACACTTGTAACAAAAGGCACTCTTAGTGTTTAATGTTTCCCTTTTTATGTTTATTTATCTTTTATACCATGGTTTCACTAACTATTGTGAGATTTCATAACACTTTTAAGCAACTTTTGTTGAAGTTAAACTCATCATTCTATCAATGTGCAGAAGCCTGTACTTTTCCACTTCTTGTTTTGTCTATCTGAAGGCCAAGCTACATGGCACCGTGGCAGCTGCTGATTGGAGGTCTCCATGCCTCCGCTCTGTATAATACACTTGCATTCTGTTGTTCGTGTTGTTCGTGCTGTCTCTACCATCGACAATAAAACATGTCTTCTGTCTGAATTAAAGACGCGATCCCAGACTATCTCATCTTCTTCAGGTGGTGGAGAATGTGGGCCTTGTCTGTAACATCTAGTGAACAGAAGACTTTTTTTTTTTACACAAAAAGTGTTTGTTTTTTTAAGCCAAAACTGAAAAACCTCAAGAGAATGCATCTGGATCAGCACACTTGGACAATCTGCACAGCCCCTGACTCCACTCAGACCTGCTGTGAGCTGCTGAGACATGGACAATACCATCGTCCTCTTGTGCATGGACATGATTTGGAACAATTGGATTTCTGAATTTGGACATAATTTGGACTGAATTTAATTGCTGAATCTGGACACTGAAGCTGAAACGTGTGATTGAAAGACACGTCACAGAAGAATTCATGGCTCGACACAAATACAGCCTGAAGAAACCAACACGGAGAAGTGGGAGAGACTGTTTTCAAAGCAATATCTGGAACCACCATCGACTGATGAAGTTTGGTATTTTACTGAAGATTGTTGACAAGTTTTATGAAAGATCTGAACATGTTTTATGAGTTTTATGAGTTTTTGAAGTATTCTGAGTTTTTTGAAGTACCGAGTTTAAGTATTGAGTTATGATGTTATGTTGCTGTTTATCGATCCTGATGGTCACACGTGAATGTGTGACCAGAGGGGGGAATGTGAGATTTCATAACACTTTTAAGCAACTTTTGTTATAGTTAAACTCATCATTCTATCAATGTGCAGAAGCTTTTCCCTTGTTTTGTCTATCTGAAGGCCAAGCTACATGGCACCGTGGAAGCTGCTGATTGGAGGTCTCCATGCCTCCGCTCTGTATAATACACTTGCATTCTATTGTATCTGTGCTCGTGTGTTTTGTTCGTGCTGTCTCTACCATCGACAATAAAACATGTCTTCTGTCTGAATTTATGACACGATCCCAGACATGGCACATCTTCTTCACTATTCTGGCTGTAACTGCTATTTTATCGAGGTAGCGACCTGTTTTGATCATTTATACTGCCATTTTATTGAGGTGGCGGACCTGATGATCAATTAAACTGCCATTTTATCGAGGTGGCGGACCTGAATCTTACCTAATCCGATCTATATAGATATACGACATTTGGTGGACCTCAAAACAGACCATAATTTAGTTCACTCAATTAGCAGACTTTGAATAAACAGGTGTCCGCTTTTACCTTTTGTCGAACAGGGCGCCAGGCACAGTCAGAAGTCCACCAAATATCAGCTTTTCCACGTCCAACCGGGGTCTCCCAGATCATGAACCAGCGCTCACTAGTACCGGGAACTAGTTTCCAGAGATCAATGACACGTCAGAAATCCACGAAATGTGGACATGGGAAAACGATTTTAAACGCTTAGTCAGTCCAAAAAAGAGGACAAAGAAAAATATAGTGAGAGAGCAAAAAAGTCCCGGAGCCGGTCGCCTCTCCAGCCTGCTGGACCGCTCCCAGGCCCCCGATACTCTCAGCTCTCCCACGCCGAGAAAAAGAAAACAAAGGAAACTCCCTCAAAACAATCCAGAGAATGGCGCACATTGAGCCGCGCATCCTCCACCAAATCTGTCAGGGATGAACCAGACAGAGACGGATCGTGGTGCGCCAAACTCTGGAAGTTTATTTAAGTTTCTCTCAAGTTCCAGTGGTTTCCATTGTTTCCTTCTCTCAGACAGAATGGAGTCAGTACACAGTTTATATAGTCACACATCGAAAGACGTACGTGTCACACAGAGACAGTGCACATCATAGTCAAAACATGGAGTCATCATCAGAGTCCTTGTACAGTCCTGCACGTAGGCCATATTGCTATCTAATACTAACAACTCTTCTGGCCACCCTGGAAAAGCCATGTTCCAGCTTCTTCCCTTTGGCAGAAGATATCGCTCTCTGAGATGCAGGACATCTCGTTACGCTAACAGTTTTTATCCACAAGCTGTTATCAGTGTGAACAGAGCACTTTAATGATTTGCACTTGTTTTGAAACTGTTTTAGTCGATCGATTTCACAGTGACATTTGTTTACTGTTTTATTTCTGTCTTTTTAATGTTGTTTTATGTCTGTATTTGTCTGTGCACACTGGAGACTTTTTGCTAATGTATTCCAATGTGGTTTTTTTACTGCAAATGGCAATAAACTGAATCTGAATCTGATTCTGAGAGAGGACTCACTCAACCAATCAGCTCTCAGCCCAAAGAGTAAATTGGTAACTCACAGGGCTTTTTTGTAATTAAACGATAACATGTTTTCTTTTAAAGTGACGGTAGCATGTTGAAACGCTTCGGTCGCTGAGTATTTCCCATTATTCCTCAGGTGCTATTCTCTCCTCTGCCCGTGGTGCACGTGTATGCCATCAGTGTGGGAGACTCCAAGATGGCCGACAGCAGGCGCACTGTCGCCACATACTCGTGTCCTGTCTATAAGAAGCCACGGCGCACAGATCTAAACTACATCTTCTTTGTGAGTCTGAGGACCAATCAGAGTGCAGAACACTGGACTCTGAGGGGGACGGCCCTGCTCTGTGACTGCAAGTGATACTTAAGAATACTACTGCTGATGTTACTGTTACTGCTGATACTACTACTGATACTACTGCTAATGCTTACACTACTGCTAAAGGGGAAAAAGGTCAGGTTGAATGATTACTTTAGCAACACTAACTACTCAATCGTAATGTTCAGTAAAGACCTGCAAAGCAAACGCTCCTATGTTTTCACTTTTCAAACATTAAATTCCATATAATAAAAGAATAAAACACAACGGACACAAGTTGAACTTTATTTTCACACACGCTGCACTCTGCAAAGATTCAGTCAGAAAACATCAAACAAAAGCAGCGCAAGCAAAACCTCATAATCGCACTCAAACTGACCCCAGTTTACAGCAGGAGACCTCAGCGTACAGCATGGGATCCTCTCCCGGACCTGGCTCTGCCCCTCGCAGCACGCCTGAAATCGTTCGAGCTTCTGCACACACCGTGCGAGGGGGAGGTTCCTGCTTTGTGATTGGCTGACAGGCTCCAGGCACAGAAGTATAAACAGCCTATAAACCTTTGTTTTGCCGCTTTGCGCAAACTGGGGGTGACACACAGACATAAGAGAGAGAACAATCTGAGCCAGGACGCTGCGCTCCGTGGAGTAAAATTAAAGATACGTACCGGTAAAGGTGCTGTATGAAACATAATACTAAAACATTTTATTTCAAGGTCACCTTACAAAGGGTGCACAGTTAAAAGCAAAAATAGTAAAGCTGGGGTACGTGACTTTTAGTCCACATCACTAGGACTGTAATGAATGTCTAGTTCTTAGCAAAGAAAAAAAGATTTTCTTCTGTCACATCTTTCAATACTTTTTTTCAGACAGAGACTGAAAAAGAGGGGCACCCTCACTCAGCCAATCAGCTCACAGCCCAAAGAGTCAAATACACAAAGGATGAAGGCAGCATGTTGTGTCTGATTGGTTCACAACATTTGACTTTAACTGTTTCCTTTAACTGTTGTGTCAACATTTGACTCTTTCTGTTCAAACTACAACATGTTATTTATTAAACTAAAGTTACATACCCCAGCTTTACACATATGTCATTTATTTAACTAAGTAACGTATCCCAGCTTTGAACATGTATCTTTATGAGACTAAAGTTATGATCCCCAACGTTAACAGTCTAGGTCCCACCTTCAGCTTTAGGGAAGGACACAAAGGAACTCTGAGACTTCTTCATCTGCTTTTTGGCACTAAGCTTAGTCCTGCTTTAGTCCTGGTTTGATCCTGTTTCGATCCTGGTTCAGTCCTCTTCACACACATGACGTAACATCAGCAGTTTTTCTCTTTCCAAATCCAACATGGCAACCTGCTTCTCGCTCAAACACAAAAGTCTTCTGAACATTCCTGTTCCCAGAGAGTTTTCCAAGTCCTCACCCAAGTCCCTATGCGTTGGACCGCATTTAGGACCGTGGGGGACCCATTCTGTCCATGTAACTCCAGAACCGCAGTGTTTATGACAGCTGCTTCATGTCGTAGATCGGTACCTCGGTCTCCTCGGCCTTCCTCTCGGGCGCGCTGGCCTCAGGGCTCCCTTTGCGGCCTTTGGGGGGTGCGACTGGAGCTTCGGTCGTAGCCTCCTCGCCCTCCGCCACCGTCCGGTCCTTTTTGATGGCCAGCTTCTCCTTAAGGCGCTCTCCGGACTGTCGGATCTTCTCCCTGCGCTCTGCGGTCACGATGCGCTCGCCCAGTTTGTTGACCTTTGATCCCAGGTTCTCACGGGTCTTGCTGAGGTTCTCTCTGGAGAAGGTGTGTTTGAAGCTCTCGATGCGGGTCAGGCCAGTGCGCTTGACGCGGGCTGCGGTGGAGGACTCCGCCTCCTCCACCACCATGTACTCCTCGTCTGATTCTGGAGGGAGCTGGAACTGATCAGGCTCCACCGCCGCCGCGGCATCAACCGGATTGCTGTCCGCGGGCACCGACTTCAGCTCCTGCTCGCCCTGTGCACACAGAGAAACCACATGAAGCAGAGGTATACTGAAAGGAAGGGCTGGACCACCCTCACTTAGCCAACCAGCTCTCAGCCCAAACAGTCAAATAGTGACTCACAGGACTCTTTCATATGTCTATGACATCACATTTGGGCCTCAGTGTAATAGTTTGGGCACCCCTCTGTGATCCACTTTTAGTCTGCAGCTGTTTGAGCGGCTCAGCTAAACTTATCTCCTCTCAGCACAGAGGCTCCAGTGACCATGCTAACACACACATGGTAACAGAGGCTAACACACACTACACGTCACAAGTATAACAACGCTAAAAGAAGAAGCTTTGGTCTCTCAGCAAGGATGTGATCAGTGGAAGATCTTAGGTGGAGAGGTCTGGCTGTAATCCACCTGAATCTGGTGGATTACAGCGTGTCATGGTCCCAGACCAGACGTAGTCTCTATCTTCCACAGTTCAGCCTGGACTTGACTGCAGGATTTGAAGCAAGTATTAGCAGTATCAGTGAACCTTTGATGTGGGCTTATTAGTTTGTCCCAATACTTTTAGAGCGGGCGGAGCCTCTGACCGTAGTGGGAGGAGCCTCATAGAAAATATTTTAATAGTTTGTGTTCATGTGACATCACACGTTCATCCTACATCTCTCCTGGTAACTATGGTAAGTGTCAAAAATGTCTACATTTAACAGATTCTAGTCTTAGTTTGACGCTAATTTCTCTGTAATCCCTGGAACAATCCACATGAAACGATTCATTTTTGTCTCTCCCCTCTTTCCTCTGACCACAGGTCTGAAGCAGGACTGAAACAGGACTAAAGCAGGACTAACCCAGGACTAACCCATGTCTAACCCAGGACTGGGCTCTTCTGCTGTGACAGCCCGGTCTGAGTCCTGGTGTTCCCTTTCTGACATGGACCGGCTCCAGCTCCAAAATAAACCACAGCAGCTGCAGCCAAGGCCCTAAGACTGAGGAGGAGAGGAGGGAAGAGAGACTGAGAGCCCTGAAACCTGAAATATAGATACAGTATAAAGTTTATCTTATCTTATCGTATATACCCTATGTTTGCAACAAAATGGAAAGAAGACTTTAAAAAAATAGTAAGTAAGTAAGTAAGTAAGTAATCTTTATTTATATACCGCCTTTTCACTGCAGATCTGAGTCTCAAAGCGGTTTACAATTGTTAATATTAAATGTTAGCATATATATTATGTTAATAATAGCAAATGTTTTTGGGGTACTGGGGTACGTAGATCTAGTCTGATGAATAAAATGGAGTTTGAACAGAAGAAGTCTTTAAGTAGAATTATGTGAAAAAATCTGCATGTGACAATCTTTTGTGTTAATAAGAGCCCTGTGAGTCACTATTTGACTTTTCGGACTGAGAGTTACGTCCTCCAGCTCAATGCAGCTGTGCTTCCACTGATCAATGACCACTCTAAACTTGTGCTGGGTCTCACCTGGTACATGACGACTCTGAACTTGCTCTTGGTCTCACCTGGTAGATGACCACTCTAAACTTGCGCTTGGTCTCACCTGGTAGATGACGACTCTGAACCTCCTCTCGGTCTCACCTGGTAGATTAGCACTCTAAACTTGCTCTCGGTCTCACCTGGTAGATAAGCACTCTGAACTTGCTCTCGGTCTCACCTGGTAAATAAGCACTCTAAACTTGCTCTCGGTCTCACCTGGTAGATAAGCACTCTGAACTTGCTCTCGGTCTCACCTGGTAAATAAGCACTCTGAACTTGCTCTCGGTCTCACCTGGTAGATAAGCACTCTGAACTTGCTCTCGGTCTCACCTGGTAGATGACCACTCTAAACTTGCTCTTGGTTAGCAGATCTCCTTGCGTAGCCTCCACCTTCTTCACGCGAAGGTTCTGGCTCTCCACACGTACACGCACGTCCTTCACGTGGCGGCTGACCTTGCGCGTCTTCTCCAGCAGGCGTGTGACCATGGCGCTGCTGTTGGCATGCTCGCTGGTCAGTTTGGTGATGTCACTCTGGATGTTCTTGACTGCGGCCTCCAGGTCGCTCTGACGCGTCTCCATGCGGCTCTGCGCGGCCTGCACGGAATCCACGAGTGCTGCGATACGCTCCATCAGCGCCGCAACACCACCCGCATCCTCCAGCGCTTTGTCTGCCATGTTTGCCGCGTCTCCAACTGTCAGAGAGAGGTCAGAGGTCACAGAGAGTTTAGAGGTCACAAAGGGACCAGGTCTCTCTTGTCTTTCACTCTGGTTTTTCTCGTATCTCTCTCTTGTCTTTATTTTCTCACTGGCCTCTCTCTTTGGTTGCTTTCTCTGGTCTCTATTCTCTCTCCCTATCTGGTCTCTCTTGTCTGGTATCTCTCTTTGGATACTCTCTATTCTCTCTCTGGTCTCTATTCTCTCTCCATTTCTGGTCTCTGTCTGGTGTGTCTCCCTAGTCTCTCTCCAGTCTCTTTCTGGTCTCTCTCTATTTTCTCTCTGAGAGAAGGGACAGAGTTACATGTTTTTGCCAGAAGTTCCTGACAATAGCAGGGATGGCTCTAAACACAATATAGTGGAAGAGCAGAGTTCGAACATGAAGAACAGAGAGATAATGATAATGTTAGTAATGGTAATAATTTGAAGTTAACTCACCCAGTTATAGGTTCAGCTCCCAACGCCGCAAGGTGGGGAGGGGTGTATGATTCCAAAGGAGGAGAATAAACAAGAAAACTGAAGAAACGTTTAAGTCTGCAGCAGGAGGAGTCCAGTCAGAGCGGTTGGAGTGTCAGGGCTGGAATGGGGACAGGGGAACGGGAACAGGACACCAGGACTGAGGGGGAGAGGGGGGAGAGGGGGTCATCGCTAAAACTAAACCTGTCTGTCATACTGCTATAACAGACACGAATAAGTCCTAAATATCTTAAAATCCTCAAATAGAAGAAGCACCAACAACATAGACAACAGCACTATTAAACCTTTTAAAAAAGACATATGCAACATGTCTGTCCATTAAGAATCATACTGAAAATATTGTCATGTGTTTTAGAATGTGAAAAAATATCTTCAGTCTCTCTGGTCTCTATAGTCTCTCTCTCTAATCTCTGGAAGGGGTGGGGTTATGGTTGTATCTGTAGTTCCTGATGTTAGTGTGGATGGATCTTAAAACAACTCCAAGTCTGTGACTGTTTGTGAGGATGAACAATGTTGGAACATAGAAAGGGGGAGAAAAGAGAGAAAGTACATTTTGTATATATATTTTTTAAATATACAATTATACGACTCTTTTGTCTTATCCAGTTAAAACAGTACTTCTTACTGCTCTCCTTCAGTTGTGTTAGGTTAAAACAGTGTACATGAAATAATACCGGTTATAATTTAAGTTTATTGATCTACACTAATAACGTCATGCATCACACAGCTACGTAAACATGTGACCGCCGCCGCCCGTCTGACTGCAGAGCCTGTAGTTTGGGCCTCTCATTATAAGTGGCTGGGGGCAGCGGCTTCAGCTTATCATGGGCCTATTACATTTTCTATACAAGACAGACATGAACCAGCAACTGTGGGCCAGCAGGGGGCAGCACCGCATACAATCAGTTAACGCATGTGGTACGTAACTTCAGTCTCATAAATATCAACACAACATGCCGTCTTCATTTTAATAGAAAACAGTTTATCTTTTGTGTTAGAGTGAGTCACTATTTGGGCTGAGTGGGGGTGGTCCTCTCTTTGTAACTAAAGATGTGACAGAGGCAAGAAGGTTACATCCCCTCGCTTTAAAATGATGTACCCCGGGCTTTTTTTATTGATTGGTTTCACAGTGACAATTGTTTTGTGTACTTTTTAGTTTGTTTTATTTATGTACTAGTCTGGTGCACACTGGGGAAATATTACACATGTATTTCAATGTAGTTTTACTGCAATTCAGAACTGAATCTGAATCTTTAAAGGTGTGTACTCCAGCTTTAATCCTATGTATGTAAGTTATTTACCCTAGCTCTAAGGATAATTTGCAGTATATACGTGACCATGCCGATTCTGCCCCCTGCTGGCCACTGCAGCTTCACACACACATTATTTAAACATTATTTTAAGCGTACAAGTTTCTCGTCCAGAGTCCGATTTCCAAATGTCGTCATCTTAGAAAACAATAGAAAAGTGAAGTAAACACTGTTCGTACAAAATAACAGCATTTTGGTTTCGGTGCATTTTCCAAAACAAAAGTAGAAAAAAAGGATCCGGTGACGTGGGCTAGCGCTGGTCCCTGATTGGTCCTCAACAAACAACGCTGGTCCCTGATTGGTCCTCAACAAAACATCTTCATTTAAATAAATATGAAACGGAAATATGTACAGACAATTAAATACAAGTCCCAGACCCTGACCTTGTTCAGACCTGGTTTAGTCCTGCTTAAATCCTGGTTTAGTCCGAGTGTACTCCAAGTTTAGTCCGAGTTAAGTCTGAGTTAAGTCTGAGTTAAATCTGAGTTAAGTCCGAGTTAAGTCCGAGTTTAGTCCTAGTTTAATCCTAGTTCAATCCTAGTTTAATCCTGGTTAAGTTCTTCTTTATACCTGGTCCAGATCTGGGTTCTCAGTCAGTGGTAGCTGCACTTGTTTTCATGTTAAACTCCGACACAAAATGGCCGCCGAAAACGTAAACAAAAAACGTCTGTAAATAAGGCCTTGGGGGAACCAATCAGATCCAGGCACCGTGCGGCACAGGAAGTGACATCACACACACAGGACGTGACATCACATGGTTACATCATCCGCGAGGAGGTTCCAGACGGGAAGTGTCCGAGGTGCTGTTTCTGACGACGGCTGCGCTTCGACGATTTACAGCGTCTGTGGAGAGGAAACACACATATCAAGATGGCCACCGCAGCAGAGGTCTTGTCCCACATGGGTTTATACCCTTATTATGGGAAATTAGGGGTCATAGACTGTACACAGATGAACCCTGCTATCCTGCTAGGTTATTGGAGCCCAGTAGGGAAGTGCTCAAAGTGAAGTTTGGTTCCAAATTTCTCTGGTTTCTATTGACTTACATTTAAAATTAAACTCCTCAGCTCAGTAACCGTTTGGGTCACACTCACCATTTGTAAATCTGGATATGAGTCATACAAGGATTGACCAATAAGATCCCTGAGGTTGTATGTCTAAGTGCGTGTACCTGGTGAAGCACATGACCACAGCAACAATCACAGCGATCTGCACGGCTCCGATGATGGCGGCGATGAGGACGTAGTGCAGCTTCTGTCCACTGGGGACGACGTAGAGTACGTTGAAGTCCAGAAGCTGATCGCACTGAGGGCCTCCGTACGCCGAGTCACATCTGCGAAGAGGCGACACATGCAGGTCACGCGAGTTTACAACCTCATTATATTTTGAACATGGGAAAACACATAAATTTCAGCACAACCTTTCTCCTTCTGGTCTCAATAGTTTCTCTCTAGTATCTCTTTGGTCTCAGTTCTGGTCTCAGTCCTAGTCTCACCTGCAGGTGGGAAGCCCCAGTCTCATCTCACAGACCCCATGTTCACAGAAGTGGGCGTAGTCTTCAGAACAGGGGGTGGGGCTATCCTCAAGCCCCTCCCCTTCACCAGGTTTGGACACAGCTGCAGGAAAAACAGAGAATCATAAAACTAGAACTACTACTTATACTACCACTACTACTACTGCAAGTGTCGTACCATAAACATCTGGTTTGGTTTTGGAGTTTTCCTCTTTTCTGTTTTTATCTGGAAAAAAACAAGAAAAATGTTCTTAAAAGTAGTGTCTCTTGCTTGGCTCGCTCTGATTTGTCTTAGCGCTTGCATGTTACTTTGGTCTTGTGGAAGTAGACACACTGCACCAACTGTATGTGTCTGTGTGTTATGCGTATGTGTGAGTCTCTCTCACCGGAGCAGCGTCCCACATGTCGAATGTCGATCTTCATCTGTTTCAGACACGATGCTTCGCGGACGTGACACGGTGTCGGGTACGTGTCGCCATCGCTGCCGCACACCGGGTTTTCATTGTGTCCATTGCACACAATGTTACACATACAACTACAACACACAATAGACCAGAGTGAGAACAAAGTGAGATCAGAGACCAGAGAGAGAAGTCCGAGTCCCTGTTTCACTCACATCATGTCCTCTGCATCCTCGTCGCACTCCGCTCCATATTTGCAGTTTTTACATTTGGAAACTTTCTTCCCGCGACCAGAGCCTTCGTCGTCTGAGGAAACAAGCCGTGAGTCAGACATTCAACAAAAAAATAAAATATTTAGATTTACAGTATATGAAACAGGAACGCACCTCCGTCTGCTGAACCAGAGCCAGCATCTGAGGAGCACAAGAGCATGAGTCATGGCTCTAGACTGTATAGGTGAACAGGCTAACAAGGCTAACACCCATAGAGCGTATATAAGAGTGGACTGGCCGAGTGTGACATCACCATGCGTGTGAAGCGTATCCAGTATCAGATTAGCCCAAGTGTATAATGTATTTTGTCTGAATGCCTCGTTCCAGAGCGATACTTGTGGCTTTTGTTTTGATTTGTAGAGGATGTAAAGCAAGCTCTCACCACACGCTCCCTGGGACACAGGGCTGATGCTCCGCTGCTTCTTGCACGCCGCTCGCCGCAAGAAACACTCGTTCTGGTATGTGTCGCCGTTTGAGCCGCAGACCGGGACGTACTTCTTATGGCACTATTGAAAACACAAAGTATAAAAGACCAGAGAGAGACCCACAAAAGAGTTCAGTCATAGAATACTAGAAGTTATATGGAGTTGTTGTGTGTGTGTGACTCACATTAAACTGACACACACACTTGATGTCAGCTCCATTTTCTCGACACGTTCCTCCAAAACGACAGGTTCCAGCGTCACACACTCTGAGGTCACTCTTCTTCTGCGACACATCTGGAAAAAACACAATCAATTCAACCATTTAAATTAGCCACAAAGCCCCATATTATGGACTGTATGTAGATTGGAAATGTTAACCGACTAGCTCAATAAAACACAATAGGGAAGTGCTCAGGGTGAAGTTTGGCTTTGACTCTGTAAAAGTATCTCTTCTAGCTCAGTAACCGTTTGTGTCAAACTCACGACTTTGGGCTTAAATTTGTGGTGTAGCGCTCGCAATAAAAGCCCATTTTCCAACATATACTGTTCCACCAGCCCTACTCGGCTCTACCAGGTCCTTCTTGGCCCTGATTCTACTCAGGCAGAGCTGGCCCTGAAGTGTTCAAACTGACACTGATTGGCCAGAGTGCTGCTAGAAGCCATGGTTACCAACCGTGTTGAATTATTGTGTTAATGCAACACAATAGTTGTGTTAGAAAGGTGTTTGTGATGGACACGGCTGAGGAGAGGTGGATTCTCTCGTGCAATAAGTGCAGTGTGAGTGTGGATGGATACAAACCGCTCAGCCGTGAAGCCACAGAGCCAGAGGGCATTGTGGGTAATGTAGTCCTGAGCTCTGTGGTATTCACTAATGAGAGACCCCCCACCCTGTAATTAAGGACCGGTCTAACCAGAGACCAGAACTGAGACCTAAGACCAGAGAGAGACTAAAGATATTAGGACCAGAGTGAGGCCTGGTTTAGAACGGCTTAAGACCTGTTATAGGCCTGGTACAGACTGGTTCTATTGAATCCTTATGTTTTGTTTTGGTTCTTTTATTGTGAAGGTCGAGGTTTTAACACCCTGCACCAGTCACTATGGCAACACTGAGAGAATTAACATAAAAAACCACTCTCAAAGTCCAGATTTAGACCTGGCTTCAATTTTTGTTCTGCTTTAGTCTTGGTTTAGTCGTGCTTTACAACTGCTTCAGTCTTGGTTTAGGTCTGCTTTACACCTGTTTTAGACTTAGTTTAGACATGGTTTACACCTGCTTTAGTCCTAGTTTAGACCTGCTTTTCTGCTGCTTTAGTTCTGGTTTAGTCCTGGTTTCTGATGCACGTGTCTCTTCTCTGTCATTAAGTCTAAATAAAGACGTGGGCAGAGCTGTGGTCACATCTGGATACCAGACTGAGACCAGAGCAGGACCCAGTTCCACAGACCTGCGGCTGTGAATGTGCTGGTCTCAAACTGGTTACACTGATGAGACCTCCAGGCGCACCACGCCACATGTTTAATACAAAAGCAGACTGCTGTTTCACACTTCTATCACTAGAAAGAGTCCTGCTCATCCTGGCCATCTCCTATTCCATCAAAACATATGTGTCCATTCCTGTTTTAGTCCTGATCTTGGTCAAGTCCGGTTTTATAACTGGTCTGGATCCAGTCCTGTTTCACTCCTGTTTTAGTCCTGGTCTTGATACAGTCCTGGTCTTGGTCCGGACCCACTTTAGACCTGGTATTGTTCCAGTCCTGGTCCAATCCTTCTTTAGTCCTGGTCTAGATCTCGCTCCGTACCTCCGCACTCTTTCCCGGGGCCACAGTCCTGCCCGCTGCGTGGAAACGAGCTCCAAACTCCGGGTAGAAGCAGCAGAATCAGCCCGCACAGCCCTTGGTTCCAAGCGGCCATGATGTAGTCTCAAACACGGGCAAAAAGCACAAAATAGTCGCTCCAAAGAGTCCCACAGCGATCAGACGCAGTCGATATATCGGAATATATGTAATTACTGCTGTTACACAGATCCAATAAATTTACGGTCGAAAATGACTGAAAAACATTCAATGATCAATAAAACATGTGGAGGTTATTTGTCATAATGCATATCTCCGTGTTTCCTCTCAGATCTAATACATTATTTATCTCTAGAGTTACAATCGCTGCATTTCTGTGGTTCCTTGAAGGCGAATCTCATTCAGACCCAAGTTTTGTTCCAGTTTTAATGCATTTCCAAAAAATATCGGTATCGAAATCTCTCCAACACAAAATCCGATTAAACATTTAAATCTGAGGATCCACCCCCGTCGTTAAGGAGCGACTGCAGCCGAAGAAAGAGCTCGTAAAGCGGAGAGGAAAACAAAAGGCCTCGGTGTTCAGGCGACCCCCACAGATTTCCACAGGCTCCTGGTGTTTGGAACCCGTGCAGTCCGCTGAGCACGCCTCCGATTCCGGGGAGAGACGTGTGATGAGCTCCGGAGGTGCAGCGTAACGCGGTTAGCAGAGTGGCCGGGGCAAAGAGCCTTGGTCCCGGGTAGAGGTGCACGGGAGGTCCGCTGGTGGTGGACGATGGAGTAGAAGGGTTTTGTCCTCCTGCAGGGGTGCCAGGTTCTCAGGGAGGAATACGCAGAGGAGGAGACTGCTGCTATGGCAACTGGAGGGGCCATGTTTTGTTTACAGAGTGATCCAGTGTTGCAGCCACTGTACACTGAGGTACGTAACTTTAGTCTCATTTAGGTAATTGTTTGAGCCTCTGTTAAAAACATGCAATACATTCATTATACAGTCAGTTCAACAAAAGAGTGATTTTAATTTGAAACTTTTAATATTTTTTATCATTAGTAGTAGTATTTTATTTCTGCTGCCTAAGTACAATAATAACATCTGTATATGTGAAACATGACTGTTTGGAACGAACAACTAGTGATAGAAGCAACTGTTTTAGAGGGGTTTATTACCTAGGTCTATTGGTGTGTTCTGAAAGTCACGTACCACAGCTTTAATCACTTGGACTCCACAAATACGAGCCCAAAGAGGAGAAAAGCATCCAGATCTGGCACCCAGCTGTCTCCAGTGAAGCGCATCAACAAAGACTCGGATCACGTGACACGCCGCACCCACAGAATCCATGGGGAGGGGTGTCTCTGTACGCACGGTACGCATACACACACACATACACACACACAGACACACACACAGACACACACACACACACACACACATCCACACACTTGTGTGCACATAGAGTCTCCATCAGAGGGCGTTGCTGCTGCACTAACGTACAAGACAAGAGTACACCTGCATGTGAACCATTATAATAGATCCATGATGTGAACCCTGTCAGGATAAAATAACCTTTATTCGTCCCACAATGGAGACATTTCTATGTTGCACCGCACAGTAGTAAGAGCACAGAAGGGGCACAGAAAACACAAAATACTCAAAAAAGTAGCTGCTATACTTCTTAAATAGCTGTAAATTCTAGTTAAGAACAGCAAATATCAATAAATCTATATTTCCATATGCATAACTAGTTTTACACTCTCATCTGGCTTCCACTCTTATACACAACAAAACAATAACAACAAGTTAATCACTTCAAATACCTTGGACTCACACTTCATAATAAACTCACCTTTGAACAACATGTCACATAAACGCTCCCAACAAAGTCTACACATTCTCCGTCAGCTCCATGCCCTCTCTGTGTCTCCAAATATGCTCCTGAAACTATACACTTGAGCGACAAAAATACCAAATCAACTTTTTTCAACTCATAAACTGCATAAATATGTTTATTGTAGTGCTCTCTACATATCCTGGTAATTTCTTTGACATTTTAGAGCAAATTAGATAAAATCTCACTTTTGAGCCTAAAAACATCTGTGCGGCGCCCTCTCTAACTTTTCGGTGGTACTACATTTGAATTTGGTCCCGGCCTCTCCATTGGCTCTGGAGTACTGTGACGTCAGTTGGTGTGTGTGACGTGCGTTTCTCTGCGGCTGTGGTATAAACCCATCCAAGACTCACACTCGCCGCAGTAGCGAGTTTGAGTATTCTGGCGACATCTAGAGGATCAAAATTAATTAAAGCCGCAAGCGGCATCTAATGGCCCTCGCCGCACCGCGCAAAGGAGGTGGCGCTCACGCGCCATTTTCCAAGAGCCCTGATGGGAGCGACACTGGGCCTTTTGAGTTCCAATGAGCAGTGATTTTGTGTCACTACCGAATAGATAAACCTCATTCTCCCCATGTAACACTTGTATCAGTCTGTAGGGGGCGCTATTTCTGCAATTTCATCTTTTACACTTTCAGTTTACCCAAACCCGAGAGTTGAACAGTCGATTCAAATTTTGTGCAAATCGGAACGGACAAAAGGAATTGTCTGAACAATTACTTTTGTCAAAAATTGGGACAAAAATGTCACATTTTGCCGCTCCGCTGCTCGGACAACATTTAACTGATCCAAATTCTATATTCAATAATGGGTTTAGACCATGTGGAGCGATTTTCAGACAAATTAATGAAACGGCCGCGGCTGGTTTGATGTTTGAGCGAGGTGTACTTCTCAGAGATTTAACGATTTTCTCATAGACACAGACAGGGGAGTGTTCGTTGTCACCACGGCAACAGGGTAAAAAATAATTATATGTTGTCATTGACTTTTTGAATCCAGATGACTAAACAGAATTATGTGCAAAATTTCAAACAATTTGAAAAAACTAAATTTTATTAGGCCCATGTAAAACTTTGACATAGTCTGTAGGGGGCGCTAATGAGCCATTTTCAATATTTCCATTTTCAATTGACCTAGACCCTGGAGTTGAACAATGGATTAAAATTTTGTGCAAATCCGACTTTTTTTGTGCATACGAGAGCAAATTTACTTTTGTCAAAAATTGGAGAAAAAAATGTCACATTTTGCCGCTCCGCTGCTCGGACAACTTTTAACTGATCCAAATTCTATATTCAATAATTGATGGTACATGGGTTTAGACCATGTGGTGCGATTTTGAGACAAATCGGTGAAACGGCCGAGGAGGAGATAATTTCCAGCCGACATGTGTGAAAAATATCAATTTTCATTTTTCCATTTCCCATTGAAATTAATGAGCTCCCTGTTTGTCAGGGGGCGGAGCCATAATAACTTTTTTTTCATGTCTTGACCTGAGGAACATGTGTACCGAATTTCGTGGCTCTACGACAAACTTGACCTCCGACCCGCTCCCATAGGCGCAATGTAAACTGACTTTTGTAGGGGGCGCTGTTTGGGCATTTTTTTTGTCCCATAAAAATAAACACCAAAAAAATTTATTTTTCGCCAGTTCTGAATTTTGGGCAAAATTTCACAACTTTTCATCAATGTTCAGGGGGTCAAATTAAGGTTCAAAGCGCAGAAGAAAAAAGAAAGAAAGAAAGAAAGAAAGAAACCAAACCAAGGAATTTTTTTTGCAAATCTTCGAGCAAAAACAATATAGATTTCCATCGTAACCTATAATACAAATGATACGTCATTTTAAAGGCGAACGCAACTATTGGGTTCTCGGTGACTGACAAGCGCTGACGCGCTCGTCAATCACCTCGCCATCATGAGGTCACCCACCCCCCCATAGGACCCCATTGATTACACAGTGTACTACAGCAGGAGCAAAGCCATTCAGTGCCTCCGGCACTGTTTTGTCAGTGTCTGGGCACGCGCCGTTGGGCTTGTGCCCGGACGAAAGAACCCTCCTTTAATAGGACCTCAATCATTTCACTGTGTACTACAGCAGGAGCAAAGCCATTCCGTGCCTCCGGCACGGATTTATCAGTGCTTGGGCACGTGCCGTCGCGTGCAGTTACAACAAGTAATGCCTGGGCTAAGCCCAGGCATTACTCGTTGGAAAAGCAATAGGCCCTTACCCCGGTTGGGGCTCGGGCCTAAAAATCAGTTGACCGCCACTACTGCTGAGATAATTCAGTGTCTTAGGTTCAGGTGTGTAACTCTCCAGTTATCTTAGTCTGTAAACAAGGGTGGAATGAGACTTTCTGTGTGTAAACTATTGCTTTAAGCAGCAATGACAACTGTCTGTTTTTTTTGTGTGACAAGTGAGCTGTCAATCACAGCCCAGACCACGCCCCACTCTAAGCCCTTCTTGTCCCTTGGTCCTCCAGGCAACGCCCTTTTAAGAGAACATTTTCAAATGTTCATGTGGGCGGAGTAAGGCTGGTCACTAGGTGTTTTGTTGCTCTTTAACTGTTCCCCCTGTTACTCCAACATGCTCCATCACCAACAGAAATAAACTCACTAAAGTCACACACACAGCATCCAAAATCATCAGTCTCCCTCCACAGACCTCGTCCACACAGCAGTAACAGCGCATAGCCCTCCCGTGATCGCTGCCTCACCCACAGGGACGTCTCCGCACTGGCTCTTACGCAGCGCGGAGACATTCCGTGTCCGTGAAGACTGTTCCGCCTGTTGAGGGCTCTCCCCGCTCGGTACATAGCCCTCCACGCCCGCTACCACCACCGTCACCCCGGCTGCATCAAAACAACAGTCTCCGGCTCCTCCACGTTGATCCACTGCTGCTCAGGTGAGTTCAGCTCCAGACAAACCCCAGGGCCCCCTGCTCTCCCCCACACAACCTCTCTTCTCACCCACAGCGCTTCTGGTGAGGGAACTCAATCATTCTAAGATGTAGATTTTTTAACGCCACCACCCACTGTTCTCCTGGAGCCACAGACACCACTTTACTGCACAAGCTGCCTATACTTCTCCAAACAACCCATCCATCTATCCATTTTCTTTCCCTTAGTCCATTTCTAGGTCGGGGGGGTGGCAGTCAGAGCTGCACCCAGTACACAGAGCACCTGCCCCTCACTGATCCTCCTGCAGGTGGTGAGTTCACAGGAGCTGAGATCTTTCAGCAGGGGCATCAGGGAAAGTGGGGTTAAGTGTCTTGCCCAAGGACACAACGACAGCAGACATCTGTGGGAGTCATGAAGTAGGTCTTATGATGGGCTCGAACCCACAACCTTCGGGCTCAAAGGCCAATGCTCTACTAACTAAGCTACTGTTGCCCCACTGAACCTTTTATCAAACACATGAAAGACTGCTTTTATCTTTGGCCCTCTGCCCACCCTGGCTCGTGGTAGGGAGCGTTTTAGTAGATTTTTATCACTCAATACCTGGCTCAACCAATCATTGCGTCACCACAACTTTGGTTTCGTAGACAATTTCAATCTGTTCTGGGACTGCCCCCCCCTTTTCCAACACGACGGACACCATATCACCCCCCTTTGCAACCTGTATCACACTTCTAATATCATTCATGCAGTTCTATCCCAAACCGTGGATCTATAATAATAACTGGATAGGGTATTACTAGCTTATAGCTGTCCCACCCATGGGCACAGGGAACGCCCGAACTGCAGACTAAATTCACGTGGGCTACCCAGATAAAAGTCCCATAGATCTCGATGTAAACTAAACCAGCTTGACCTCAGCGTACAGAGAACCTACAGCTTTCATAAAGATCGTATTTTGTGGGGATTTTAGTGTCCCTTGTCATCCTGAACTTTGTTTCTTCTTAAATCCTTCGGTTTTCTTTAAATCCACACTTTACTGCTGTAAACTCTGCTCGTTTCCTTTCCTTCCCGCTCTGAGTCGGCTCTACCGCTGCTCTGATCAGCAGCTCTGATTGGTCAGAGCGCGGCCGAGCCCCTCTGTGCACGTGCATGAGAGCCACACACGCGTAATTGGTGCAACGCATCATGGGAGATCAACCACTGCGCAGAACCGGGAGGACCAGACGATGCCCAAATATAGGCGAGTTCCTCTGATATGTCAGTGCCCGTGACGGCCCATGCACTACTGAGCACAAGCCAGTCATTTGAATAGGGCGCCATCTTGGATCACCGGGGCTTGATCCCAACCCACATCTCTTTGACAACTCACGACCACAACCCCCATCTCACCTACTCCCCAACACCAGCCCCTGCTCTTCTCCCCAGTAAAGAATCCCAGTCATAACCAGACCCCGCCCTTACAGACCGTCCATTCCCAGGGAACCATCCTCTGTCAACCTCATGCCTGTTGCCCTCCCACTCTCCACCACATCCTCTGGTCCTCACCACAGCCCTTCAAACTCTGGACTTTTGAATAATAAATCCGCCTCAAAAGGTATCTGTACGCTCCGTTTTAAATAAGACTTCTATCATTACTGACCTAATTTTAGAACAACATCTTGATGTAATGTTTTTTAATATCACTGGTTTTATTCAGCGTGAGACATCTGTGAGAACCGTGAGGAAGCAACATCTAACCCCTGAAGTGGGTGCAAATTTTAACGACATTCTAAATAACTTGGTTTTACCTGCTCCCTGTGATTTTATAGCAGCAAAACTATGCTGGATCAGGTTGCTCCTTTGAAACTATTAGAACAAAATCTGTACCCCCATGGAGGAATGATGAAGTAAGGAAAATGAAAAAAGAGTGCAGGGTGGCAGAACGGAGGTGGAGGAAAAATGAAACGACAATTAATTATGAAATTTACAACAACCAACAAAAAACTAGCCTGGCCTTAGCCATCTACACTCCGCTCAATCATCATTTCACTGCATGTAACGTCTGGGTCTAGTCCCTATGTTAGCGATTACAATCGGTTGAATTTTGACCGACCAACCAGCGAGCGCGGAAGGAGAGTATTGTAGTTAGTTGTGGGTGACGTCAAGAGTTTGCGTCGAACGGGAAGGTCGTAGTTTGGCAATGGCGAAAAATGCAATAGTAAAGTATTCCGGTCTGGTTCTATCAAGAAATTGAAGCCGGAGCAAGAGGAATGTTTAGCAAATGTAATCGCCGGAAAAAATTGTCTTGTTGCGCTCCGTTAGCGGCAAAGGAGATGGCTAGGCTAAATGCCAACGACTCACCTGGCGCATTACATACGTCACGGTAAACTCAGATCCAATCGTTTCAATCTGCAAAAGGAGTTAATCCCTCCCACCTGTTGATGGAGCTCAATGGAGCACCTCCAGTCCTTAGTACGAAATGTAACACAATCAGGAAAAATAGGAAAAACTACTTTGCAAAAATAATGATCCGAAACAATAATAATCCAAAGGTCCTGTTTTCAACCATCGACACCATTTTAAACCCTGATTTTAGCATGTCTCTTTCAACCCCCACAGACTCCCTCTGTGAGGATTTTGCAGTCCACTTCATGGTCATTAAAATCAGATGTAACATTTTATCCAACCGCACAACTGTTTTTAACACATCTTATTGTTTGTCTTTGCCAGAGGAAACATTGGACAGTTTTGTCCTGGTTAATACAGAGATGCTTGATAAAGTTCTCTCCTCAGTGAGGCCCACCACATGTCTTTTAGATCCAGTCCCCACTCCATTTTTTAAGTAATTTTATGAATCTTTTAGAGAGGAGCTTTTAAACCTGATGAATTGCTCTCTTCAAACTGGGGTCTTTCCTGCAGCCTCCAAAGATTTTAACAACTACAGATTAGTATCCAACTTGCCATTTTTAAGCAACATTTCAGAAAAACCTGTTTTTATTCAGCACAATGCCTTTTTAGATCAGCAACACATTTAAGAGACATTTCAATCTGGTTTTAGGGGGAACCACAGCACAGAGACTGCTTTTTGTAAAGATTTTAGATTAAAAAATGATTCTATAAAGGTGACGGTGTTGGTTCTATTGGATCTAAGCGCTGCTTTAATACAGTAGATCACACCTTTCTTTTATCCTGCCTGAAACACCTTGGCCTCTCTGGTGTTGTCCACAAATGGTTTGAATCTTATTTAACGGACAGATCCTTCATGGTAAGTTTGGATACCTGCTCCTCTCAGGAACATAGAATCACATTTGGTGTGCCCCAGGGTTCCATTTTAGGTCCAGTCCTTTTTAACCTGTACATGCTCCCTCTTGGCGGTGTCATCAGGAGACATGGAATTACAGTGCCTTGCAAAAGTATTGTTGAAATCTTGAACCTTTCAACATTTCGCCACATTTCAGTCTGTAAACCTTAAGATATAAAAATTTAATTTTTTGTCATGAATCAACAACAAGTGGGACACAATTGTGAAGTGGAAAGAAATTTATAGGATAATTTAAACTTTTTTAACAAATAAAAAACTGAAAAGTGGGGCGTGCAATATTTTTCGGCCCCTTTACATTCAGTGCAGCAAACTCAGTCCAGAAGTTCAGTGAGGATCTTTGAATGATCCAATGTTGTCCTAAATGACTGATGATAATAAATAGAATGCACCTGTGTGTAATCAAGTCTCCGTATAAATGCACCTGCTCTTTGATAGTCTCAGGGTTCTGTTTAAAGCACAGAGAGAACCATGAAGACAAAGGAACACACCAGGCAGGTCCGAGATACTGTTGCGGAGAAGTTTAAAGCCGGATTTGGATACAAAAAGATTTCCCAAGCTTTAAACATCTCAAAGAGCACTGTGCAAGCAATTATATTGAAATGGAAGGAGTATCAGACCACTGCAAATCTACCAAGACCCGGCCGTCCCTCCAAACTTTCATCTCAAACAAGGAGAAGACTGATCAGAGATGCAGCCAAGAGGCCCATGATCGCTCTGGATGAACTGCAGATAACTAGTCCCTCCTGTCCCGCTCTGTGCTGTCCGGGGCCCAGCACACGGCAGCGTAGTGTATGGCAGACGCTACCACAGAGTCATAAAAAGTCCTGAGCAGAGGCCTGCTCACTCCGAAGGACCTCAGCCTCCTGTGAAGGTGGAGGCGACTTTGGCCCTTCTTGTACAGGGCGTTAGTGTTAGGGACCAGTCCAGTTTATTGTTAATGTGAACACCCAGGTAATTGAAGCTGTCCACCAGCTCAATGTCCTCCCCCTGGATGTTCAGCGGCGTGTGGGAAAGTGGTTTTCTCCTGAAGTCGATGACCATCACCTTGGTTTTACTGGTGTTCAAGCACAAGTGGTTGCGCTCACACCAGTCGACAAAGTCTGTCATAACCGTCTGGTATTCCAGATCGTTCCCCTCAGACACACAGCCCACGGTGGCGGAGTCGTCGGAGAACTTCTGCAGGTGGCAGCTGTGTGTGTCGTGTGTGAAGTCTGAAGTGTAGATGGTGTAGAGAAACAGTGAGAGGACAGTGCCCTGAGGACTGCAGGACCTGTCTCTCCAGTGTCTTCATCATGGCAGAAACATCTGCCTGGTTAGTCCCGTGATTGGAGACCACTTAGGCAGGGAACTTCACCCACTTGCATTGTTTACCACCACCAAGTCTTGACCAGTGTTGGACCAAGACTGAACCAGGACTGGAACAGGTAAACCCGGTGTGGACCAGGTATTGGTCTGTCTACTGCTGTTAGAGACTGATGAGTGACGTTTTTCCATTAACTTGTGTAAACTCTTTGTCGACAAAAATGAAGCGAGAAAAAAGAGAAATCAGTGAAATAATAAATGAGACAGAAGCAGAAGTTATAAAAGATTCATGTTAAACCACTTTAAACATGACCAGGTCTAAAGCAGGTCTAAGTCAGGCCTGAATCAGGACTAAAGCAGGTCTAAAGCAGATCTAAAGCAGGTCTAAAGCAGAACTATAGCCGGACTAAAGTAGAGACGTCTGATCTTTCTTCCGGTGCTTCGGTGCAGAAATGAACACAGAGGGAGAGGACATAAAAAAACGTCACTCGACTCTCTGACCAGACCCAGACCAAAGACACAGACCCAAGCCAAAGACAGCACTGGTCAGACCCAGACCAGACTCAGACTAGACCACACCAGACACAGATCAGACCAAGATCCAGAACATACTCAGACTCAGACCCAGTCACCCAGACCAGACAAGACCCAGACCCAGGCCCAAACTAGACTTAGACTCAGACTAAACCGGACCCAACAGGACCCAGACCCGACGAGAGGTGGCTTGGGTCACGGGGTGATCGAGAGGCGGCTCCGCCTCCGGGCTCTCCTCTCTCCGCCTTTCTCTCTCTCCACACATCTACCTCCGCCTTTCATGGAGCTCCTCTGCCCGGCCTCTGGGCGCCTCTGAGTGGACACATGGAGCGCGTGTCTCGGGGAAAGAGCGCAGCTGCGGCCGCCGTGATGCTGCTGCTGTTCGGGGGAGTGAGCAGCAAAGGTAGGTCCGGTCCTGCTCTTGGGACTCATGATGCTTCATCAGCTGCAGTAAGAACATAGACACGCGTTTGCAGATCTGTTTAACCTGTGTAGTGACTTATGTATTTGTGAAGCGCTTACTGTAATTCCTCAGTGCTTCCAAACCCGGGGTGCACGCTAGTATTTCAATAAATGCATATTATTTATAACCCCCGACTCTCACTTTTGGACCTTAAAATAGTGTAAATGCTGGACGGTTGTAGACCTGCTTTAGTCCTACTGCTTTAGTTATCCTGCTTTAGACCAGCTTTTGACGTAATTTAGAGCTGCTTTAGTCCTGCTTTAGTCCTTTTTTATTTAGATCTGCTTTAGACCTGCGTTAGACCTGCTTTATACCTGCTCTAGGCCTGCTTTAGACCTGGTTCAGTCTTGTCAGTGCGTGCGTCTCTGCAGTTATAAACTTGTCCGACTCGTTTTGAGTTTCGAAATCTCAGTGTCAAAATTCAACTGAGAATTTTATCAACAATCTGTAAGAAAGACCGAAAACCCGGGGCTGAGGCCGGTCCGATTCCGTTCGGAGTCTTTGTTCTGGTCTCTGGTCGAAGGTCTAAGGTCCAGGCCCGGGTCAGCAAACATCAGAGTCCCAGGCTCTTGGCTTTGATCCAGGATCAACACAGCTCAGGACTGACCCAGGACTAAACCAGGATTGAACCAGTGCTAACCCAAATCTGAAGCCGGTCTAAATCAGGAAAAAACCCGGATAAAACCAGGGAAAAACCTGGATACAACTAGGATTAAACCAGTTCTAAAACAAGTCTAAAGCAGGACTCGAGCAGGTCTAAATGACGTCAGGTTTAAAGCAGGACCAAACCAAGACTGAACCAGGTCTGACCCAGTCCTCGGGGGACTCTGATGAGCCCCTGGGGAGTTCTCCATCCTGCTCTGAGACCAGACCCCTTTGATTTACTCTGATTTCATTCTGATAAAACTTTTCAAATCATTAAGCTTCAAGAATCTGCAAACTGCGTACCCTAACTTTGAAGCAAGTGAATATATAAACCTGGTTTAGATCTGTTTGGACCTGGTTTAGACTTGGTTGTGACTTGGTTCTGGTCCTGGATCAGACCTGGTTCAGACCTGGTTCAGAACTGGTCCAGACCTGGTCCAGACCTGGTTCAGACCTGGTTCAGGCCTGATTCAGACCAGGTCTAGTCCTTGTTTTGTTTATGTGGGAGTGTATTTTGACTGAGCTTCTGAGAAACCTTGAACGATTTGTGGAGGAAAAAACAAAAATCAAAATGAGCCTGAACCAGGTCTAAACCAGGACTAAACCAAGTTTATACCAGAACTAAACCAGGACTAAACCCGGTCTAAACAAGGTCTAAACAGGTCTAAACAGGATTGAAGCAGGTCTAAATCAGGACTCTGTTCTCCCTGAATGCCATTCTGTTGTTGTTTGTCTGAAAAAATCATTCGACTCCAATTTGTGAAAAATGTGTTGTGTCAGTGTGTCTCAAACTGAGGGCCGCGTTCTCTGCAGCTGCATAAACAACACTGCAGCGAGACAGCGGGCAAGGAGGCTTCCACCGGGAGCAGCACGTGGGAACAGATCAGAGTTCACACCTGTTTACCTGGAGTTGTGTTTAGCTGCATCCAAGTTTCTTTGGGTCAGGGTCGTTGTCTGGTCTTGGTCTGGTCTAGTCTTAGTTCACGGTCACATAGGGTTTTACAAACGAACTAGGCCAAGTGGCCCGGATTGTCGCCACAGGGGTGTGAAAGCGGCCCGCGGTCACATGAACGTTTTTTCGCAAACGTGCCAGAGTAACTAGTGCTGTAGTTCAATACTCCGTTCAGCTGATGACGCTAATGCTAACTTCAGCGATGACCTTGTTGTCCGAGTTAAGTTTCCGTTTCTCTTCCTGTTTACATCCTGCTGCTGTAGCTAACAGCTCGAGTACGGATCGCTTTGTTTAGGGAAAGACACATCTCACTCTTGTCCACATTGCTCTGATGCAAAGTGCAGCAGTTCAGTGGGTAACGTGTGTGCACACGTGTGTGTTAAATAAAGACTGATTCTTGAATGTCTGAAGTATTATTGCAATAGCACCACACTGTGAGAGCGAGGGTCAGAACAGAGGGACTTATTCCCCACCACCCGCCACACTGACCCCCCTCATCTGGGCTTTGGAAGCGTTCTCAGGCCCACCTCTCTCAACCGTGCTCAGGACCACTTGCAGCAACCGTGCCCAAGCACAATTGCCGCGGTCACATAGCACCTAAAGCCCGGATCTAATCGCGAAGTGGACCCAGGCACACTTTAACCGGGCTTTAGGCTGCACATGTGACCGCAGCTGTTGCTGCTACTGCCGCTACTGCTTCCTCTTCCTCCTGCTCCTCTTCCTCCTCCTCCTCCTGTTCTCACCCTGTCTCGTGGAATTTGCAGTATGTGAACAGGACTTAACTTGATCCTGGATCACTTCTGTGTGAAAGAGCGGTTTATGTAAATGAGCCATGTGCTCCTGTCATCAGCCTGAATCACACTCCATACACACTGGGCCTCCAACTCTTTTGGCCTTCTTTGCAAAATGCCATTGAGTCTTTTTGCAGAATACAGCTGGAATTTAGACCCAATGAAACTGTTTCCTCTGCCACTTCTCACATGTGGCTAAGGGGAATAAGGTTCTAGAACTACGCATAAGTCAGGGACAATACTCTGCATAATGACAGCGTACAGAGATGTTTGAGTGAGGGCAGCTCAGAGTTTGGGCTGTTGCAGGTGATGTTCTTTCCTTTATAAAGTTGTTATTGTGAAAAATATGTTGGAAACTGAAAACTTCTCCATAAGGATGTTCTCTGGTCTCCCTCTGGTCTCTCTCTCTCTCTGGTCTCCCTCTTTGGTCTCTCTGGTCTCTCTCTCTCTCTCTACAACACGACAACCTTTCTCACTGTTGTCTCAGGTCTCTGAAGTGGGTAGAGGTGCTGGTCCATGAGTATCTTACTCTTCAATGTATTTGTATTATGTTATGTCTATGTGAGAGCAGGGGATTGTGGGAGTCCCCCCCCCCCCCTTTCCTTCCCCGGAGCAGAGTCCAGGTCATGGATTAGTTAATTGGTCCCATCAAAGTGTGTATGGATTTACAGTTAAGTTGTTTTGCGCTCAACTGCGTGGGAACAAAACATAAAACTGAAAATCAATATGTGTCTGCAGGCGGTAGTCCAAGTTTAGTCCTGCTTTGCTATAGTCCAGCTTTAGTCCTGCGATCTCCTTTAGTCCAGCTTTAGTCCTGGTTTAGATCTCCTTTAATCCAGTTTTCTGGTTTAGAGCTCCTTTAGTCCGGCTTTTGTCCTGCTTTAGACCTGCTTTAGCCTTGCAATAGTCCTGCTATAGTCCTGCTTTAGTCCAGCTTTAGTCCTGCTTTAGTCCAGCTTTAGTCCTGATTTAGTCCATGCTATAGTCCTGGTTTAGTCCTGCTTTAGTCCTGCAATAGTCCTGCTTTAGTCCAGCTATAGTCCTGCTATAGTCCTGCTATAGTCCTGCTATAGTCCTGGTTTAGTTCAAAGATAAAATAGACTTTATTGATCTCACACAGGAGAATTTTACATGTCACATCTGGCATGGATAGAATCACTGTTGCAGGATATATTATATACAATAAAAAGTGACAATAGTAGTGCAGATTTCTTTTTTTTCTAGTGCAAGTGACTTAAAGGGACTTATTGTACAGTCTGACAGCGGTGGGGATAAAGTCCCTGCGGAAGCGCTCCTTCTTAGTAAGTAGTAAGTAAGTACGTTTCTTACACTGAGGGTGTCTCAGTCTTCCTCTGAAGGAGCTCCTCAGCTCCTCTTCAGTCCTGTGGGAGGTGTTGTTCATGATGGAGGTGGCTTTGACTAGCACACTCCTGTCCCTCACCTCCTCCACAGAGTCCAGGGGGCAGCCCAGAGTGGAGCTGGCCCTCCTGACCAGCTTGTTCAGTCTGCTCCTGTCCCGCTCTGTGCTGCCCGGGGCCCAGCACACGGCAGCGTAGTGTATGGCAGAGGCTACCACAGAGTCATAAAAAGTCCTAAGCAGAGGCCTGCTCACTCCAAAGGACCTCAGCAACTTTGGCCCTTCTAGTGCAGGGCATTGGTGTTATGGGACCAGTCCAGTTTATTGTCCTGTTATAGTCCTACTATAGTCCTGGTTTAGTTCTTCTTTTATACCGCTTTAGTCCTGCAATAGTCCTTCTTTAGTCCTGATATACGGTGGCGGCACGGTGTCTGAGTGGTTAGCACTCTCGCTTCACAGGAAGAAGGTCCTAGGTTCGAATCTAGGTCGGAACAGGGCCTTTCTGAGTGGAGTTTGCATGTTCTCCCCGTGTCTGTGTAGGTTTCCTCCGGGTATTCCGGTTTCCCCTACCAATAAAAACAATAGGTCTGGCATGTGCCTCCTGTTCAGCGACCCTGCTCCCATCTCTGTGGAGTGAGAGACAAATGCCCACAATTGTAAACAGCTTTGTGACTCTGGTCTGTGAAAGGCAGTTTATAAATAAAGATTACTATACTCTTGGTTTAGTCCTGCTATAGTCCTGGTTTAGTCCTGCTTGGTTTGGTCCTAGAGTACAATATAATCACCCTCACTCAGCCAAAAGAGTCAAATATTGACTCACAGGGTTCTTTGTGTTGTACAGGTTTTTAAATAAACATCTTGCTTTGAAGTTAGTTTGAGGATAACTTTTTTCAGCCCTGAAATAACACTAAAATCTCTGGGTGGTGTGTTCTCTCCTGCAGTCTGTCTGGGCAGCAGTAACCAGCTCAACCAACTCGGGACCCAGCAGAACCACTACGAGAACCTGCGCAAGACCTTTGAAAACTGTACCTCAGTCCTGAAGAACCTCGAGATCACCCACACCCAAGCCCAGCACAACCTGAGCTTCCTGCAGGTGAGACCCAAGCCCAAACCCAGACAAAGGCCCACACCCTGGTCTCTCTGTCTCTCTCTGTCTCTCTCTCTCTCTCTCTCGTGTCTGGTCTCTGTCAGGTCTCTCTGGTCTCTCTGGTCTGTATCTGGACAAAGGGGGGGAGTTACACGTAATTGCCAGGAGTTCCTGATAGTAGCGTTTGCAGATTGAGGTTGTGTGTTGTGTGTTTGCAGTCGATCGAAGAAGTGGGCGGGTATGTCCTCATCGCCATGAATGAGGCGGTCACGGTGCCACTGTCCCAGTTGCGGCTCATACGAGGACAGTCTCTGTATGAGGGGAATTTTTCTCTATTGGTGATGGCCAACTTCAACCCCAACTTCCCCAAAAGCGGAGACTACAGGAGTGGCATGAGAGAGCTGCTGCTGAGCAACCTCACAGGTGAAACCACAGACTAGAGGTCAGGAACCTATGGCTCAGGAGTCAGATGTGGCTCTTTTGATGATGTGTCTGGCTCTCTGATTTGTCAATAGTTTAGTTTAGTTTATTGTTTATAAAACATGGACAATGTACAAAAACCATTAGTCTTTACAAAAGCAGTGATGGTTTGCACCAGATTTAGCTGCAGCTACTTTCCATCTAAAACATAAAACACTAGAAGAATGTTTTATGTTTTGGATTTCTTCTGTATAAAAATTGTATTAAATAAGAGTGCATTCTGAGACTCATATCTCACTCTAAATGTGTCTTCAAAAAATCACTCATATTCACAGTAAAAAAAATAATGTGTATGGCCACCACATTTATCATATTTTGTGTCTTTCTCAACTTAAGAGGTTCCCGACCTTGACCATAGACAGACGGACATTGTTAATCTTCTAGCCTGATAGGGAAGTACTCAGTTTGGCTCCAACTCGCTCTGGGTCTTATGTAAAAGTAAACTCCTCATAGCTCACCAATTGTTTGTGTCACACTCACCATTTTGGGATTAAGTAAGTGAGTAAGTAGTAAGTAAGTAATATTTATTTATACAGCGCATTTTACAGACCAAGGTCACCCAAAGCACTTTACAATGTTCAGAAATCTGTGGTTTAGCGCTCTCTGGTGTTTATATTGTCTCTCTATGGTCTCTCTCAGGTCTCTCTCTAGTCTCTCTCTGATCTCTAGTCTCTCTCTCTGGTCTCTCTCTGGTCTCTCTCAGGTGTGTTCAGCAGGTTAGTCCTAGATTAGGCTCTGCTCCAGTTTGTTTCTGTCAACACATCATTTCACCACACCCTGAACCAGGTCTGAAACAGGTCTGAACCAGGTTTAATCCAGGTCTGGATCAGGTCTGAACGAGGAATAATGTGTTGTCTTTCCTCAGAGATCATGAATGGAGGAGTAAAAATTATCAACAACCCGTTCCTCTGTCACATCGACTCCATTCAGTGGTGGGACATTCTGGACCAGAGCTCCAAGCCCCACATGGTCTTGATACCAGAGGACCACCCCAAGATCGATTGTGAGTAATGATTAAGTGCTGTTTTAGTCCCACTTTAGGCCTGATTTAGTCCTGATTTAGTCCTGCTTTAATCCTGCTTTAGTCCTGCTTTAGTCCTGTTTTAGACCTGTCACTTTTCCACTGTGTTTGTTCCAGGTCCTAGATGTGACCCCAGCTGTGTAAATGGAACCTGTTGGGCCCCGGGGCCTCAGCACTGTCAGAAATGTAAATAAACACAAACACTGTCCTCAGCTTCAGCGCTCTCAAATGTCAACAGCTCATGCAAGGTGGCCCAGGAATTTACAGGAGCTGGATGCTTTTTGCCATGTAGAATGTGCAACATTACAAAGAGAGAGAGACCTGAGAGAGACTAGACAGAGACCAGAGAAAGACCAGAAAGAAAGACCAGAAAGAGAGACCAGAGAGAGGTCAGAGAGGGACCAGAGAGAGACGAACTTTGTTAACCTTCTAGAGATAGAAGAGAGAGAGATAGAACCCACAACTAAAACAAAAGATACACGCTACTCAGGACTGGGGTGTGGAGAACTGTGGGATGGAGGAGGTCCTCACGTCATGTCTGTGTGTCCTCAGTCACGCGGCTCCTCTGTGCTGACCAGTGCAGTCACCGCTGCAGGGGCCCCTCTCCAGGAGACTGCTGTCATGAGCACTGTGCAGCCGGCTGCACCGGGCCCTTGGCCTCACAGTGTCTGGTGAGTCTATCAAAACACATCTGTTCTACACACCACACAAGCTCTACTAATGGCAGGTTAAAGCTGGGTTCCATAACTTTAAAGCTGAGGTACAATAGAACTCTGTAATAAACCCATGTCTCTAGTTCTTGGCTCTAAAACAGATGCATCTATCACTAGTTTTCATTTCATATATTCCTGACCTCTGTCACATCTTTAGATCAGCTTTTTCAGACAGAAAAGTAAAAAAAAGAGGACCACCCTCACTAAACCAATCAGCTCTCAGCCCAAGGGGTTGGCCCTTTCTTACACACAGATGAAGACTGCCGGTTTGGTTTGTCGGATTTGTTCACAACATTTTACTTTAAGACTATTTCTGTTCAAACTACTTGCTGTACCCCAGCTTTAATCATGTACCTGTTTGCAGGCCTGTCGTCTCTTTAACGATGACGGCACCTGTCAGAGGAGCTGTCCACGCCCTGTGATCTATGACGTCATCACACGAGAGCTCGTCCCAAACCCTCAGGCCAAGTTCACCTTTGGGCCGACCTGCGTCAAAGCCTGTCCGCGTGAGTTAGCTCTCATCTGAGCCTGTGTGAGTCAGCTCTAATCAGCTTCTCTTGCTGCAGGTAATTACGTGGTGACGGATTGGGCCTGTGTGCGGAGCTGTCCCCCCGGGAAACACGAAGTCCTGGAGAATGAAGTCCACCGCTGCAAGGACAGTGACAGTCTCAGCCCCAAAGGTTTAGACCTGATTAACTCCTGGTTTAGTCCTGGTTTCGTCCTGCTATAGACCTGCATTAGACCTACTTTAGTCCTGCTATAGACCTGCTTTAGTCCAGCTTTAGTCCTGATTTAGTCCTGCTTTAGTCCTCCTGAGACCCTGATCAGACCCTCTTCTCCTTCAGCCTGTGATGGCATCGGAGTGGGAGCTCTCGTAAACACTCTGGGTGTGAATTCCACAAACATTGAGTTGTTCAGAAACTGCACCAAGGTCATCGGAGACATCATCTTCATCCCCTCATCCTTCAACGGGTACGAGGCGAGAGAGAGAGACCAGAGAAAGAGATCAGAGAAAGAGACCAGAGACCAGAGTGAGACCCGAGGAAGACTAGAGAGAGACTAGAGAGAGACCAGGGAGAGCTCTTATTGAAATCTTAGTATTTCCTTCCTTGTCTTTCAGGGACCATCATTATAATGTCTCTGCTTTGGATCCTTCTAAACTGGAGGTTTTTCAGACGCTCAGAGAGATCACAGGTACTCCCCCTATTGGCCTGCAGGTGGTGCTGTGCTTGTTTATATGACTGTTCGTTTTTGCAGGTTTCTTGCTGATCCAGTTCTGGCCGGAGAACTTTACGTCTCTGTCTGTGTTTGAAAATCTGCAGATCATCAGAGGCCGAACGCTGCACCGGTGAGTACAGGTCTGGGTCTGGAACCAAGTCTGGGACTGTTTTGATTATACCAGCATTCATATGGACAATGCTTACCACTAACGAGAGTTACGACTGTAACTACGGTTCTATGAATCCTGGATGACCGCCAGAGGCGGTGCTTAAGCACTGGATGATCATCCTCGCGCATGCACAGATCGAGAGTCAAATAACAACAAAGTCACCCGTGACCTCCGGTAGCTCACGCGAGAGTCTATAAAGCCACGTGACACCGGAAGCACAGTCCCTAGAACCTTTCTTGCACAAGGATTCCGAGGGACCGGGCGCTCTGGCGGTCATCCAGGATTCATAGAACCGTAGTTACAGTCGTAACTCTCGTTCTATTTCATCCTTCCTGACCGCCAGAGGCGGTGCTTAAGCACTGGATGACGAATATCAGCAAGGTCACGAGGAAACCAACCAGAACCTCACCTTACTGTGAAACGGATGAGCGGCGCCGCAGAACCCCCTGCAGGGGGTGCGGGGCGGCAACATTAACCCGATAAAACCTGGCGAAGGTGCTTGGGGACGACCATGACGCCGCCGCACAGATGACGTCCAACGACACACCACTCACAGCAGCCCACGAAGTTGACATGCCCCTCGTAGAATGGCACCTCACCCCAGGCGGTAACGGCAGCCCCCGCAAGGCATAGGCCTCTGTCACAACCCCCACGACCCAGTGGGAGAGACGCTGCTTGGACAGAGCCCGACCAACGCGAGGGCCGGCGCAGCAGACAAACAGGGCGTCTGAACGCCTTATCGAGGCCGTGGAGCGAATGTACACCTCCAGTGCACGAACAGGGCACAGAGGGTCAGGGGGCTCACCAGAACCAAAACGGGCCAACTGAAGGGGCCCGTCATACCGACCAGAAGACACCTTCGGGACAAAGGACACATCCGGCCACATAGACACACCCGAGCCGTCAGGATGCCAACGACAACAGGCCTCGGTCACCGACAGAGCATGGAGTTCACTCACCCGCCGTCCGGAGGCCATAGCCAGGAGAAACGCTGTCTTCATAGACAGCCACTTGAGGGCAATCTCCCCCAAAGGCTCAAATGGCGGGGAACGCAGGGCATCAAGGACAACCGAGAGGTCCCAAGCCGGCACCACAGGACGACAGGGCGGGTGCAACCGGCGGGCACCTTTCAAAAACAGTGAAACGTCAGTAACACGACCGACACTAGTCCCACCAAACCCAGCGTGCCCACACGAAATCGCAGCAACGTATACCTTCAGGGTGGACGGAGAACGGCCTTTACTGAGCAGTTCTTGAAGGAAGGTCAGTATGGACGTCACCGAGCAGAGACGCGGGTCGAGTCCCCTGCCACGACACCACCCGTCGAACACGTTCCACTTACAGGAATACAGCCGGCGTGTGGACAGAGCCCGGGCATTGCACATGGTGCGGCCAACCTCCCCAGTATAGGCTGTAAACGCTAAACCGGTCCCCGGAGGTGCCACACCCAAAGCCGCAGGCGGCCGGGGTCCGGATGGAGAAGCCGGCCCCCCAGTTGAGACAGGAGATCCCGCCTGGAGGGAAGGGGTCTCGCCAAGCCGCAGCAGAGCCTGAGCAGCAAGGGAAACCATGTCCTCCCCGGCCAATACGGGGCCACCAGTATCATCCTGTGGCCCTCCTGAAGGACCCGGAGCAGCGTCTGATGGATCAGAGGGAACGGCGGGAACGCGTACAGCAGAACCCTGGGCCAGTCGTGAGCCAGCGCGTCTTGACCCAGGGGACCGGTGGACTCCAACAGGGAGAACCACAGCGGGCAATGAGTCGTTCCCTGAGAGGCAAAGAGATCCACCCTCGCCCGGCCGAACAACCCCCAAATGGAGACCACTACCTCCGGGTGTAGCCGCCACTCGCCCGGCAGCGAAACGTGGCGCGACAGGAAATCCGCCGACACATTCAGAGTCCCTGGGATGTGCATCGCGGTCAAACCCGCAAGACGGGGATAGGCCCAAGTCAACAGCCCTCGTGCCACTGTCAGCAAGCACTCCGACCGAGTTCCCCCCTGGTGGTTGATGAAATAGACCACACTGGTGTTGTCCGACCGCACCAACACATGCCGCCCCCGCAAGACCGGCAGGAAATGGCGCAGCGCAAGCTGAACGGCCAGGAGCTCCAGGACGTTGATATGGAGCCCCCTCTGCCGCACCGGCCAGACGCCCTGAACCGCACGCCCCTGCCACGTTGCGCCCCACCCTGTCAGGGACGCGTCCGTATGCACCACCTCCCGGCGGGACGGCAGGGGACCCAGCGCGACGCCCGTCAGCACAAACGCCTCGTCGCGCCACCGGGACAGTGACTCCATACACCGAGGAGACACCAGTAACCGCCGACGTCTGTGAACAGGATTGGCCGGGTCCAGCCCCAGGCCATTGAGCCACATCTGCAGCGGGCGCAAGGACAAAAGACCCAGGGGGACCACAGACGAGGCTGCAATCAGCATGCCCAGGAGCCTGAGGAACGCCAGGTAAGGGAGCGACCGTCCTCGACGGAAGCCCGGGAGCAACGCCCGAATGTCCCCGACACGTCGAGGCGAGGGGCGGGCGGACATAGACAGGGAATCCAGAGCCATGCCCAGGAACAAAGCCTGCTGAGACGGCACCACATTGCTCTTTGCCAGGTTCACTCGCAGACCCAACCTGGTCACGTGCTCTATCACAGCCTGCGTATCCCGCAGAGACTGCTCGCGAGTGGGGGCACAGATCAGCCAATCGTCCAGATAGGGCAGGATCCTCAACCCCCTGGCCTGCAACGGGGAAAGAGCCGCCGCCACGCATTCGTAAAGACCCGAGGAGAGAGCGAGAGGCCGAAGGGAAGCACCCTGAACTGGAAGTGCCTCCCCTGAAAGGCAAAACGCAGGAACCGGCAATGCTGAGGAGCAATCGGGACGTGAAAGTAGGCGTCCTTCAGGTCTATCGACGTGAACCAGTCCCCAGGGGACACCGCCTGGAGGACCTGCCGGACACGCAACATCTTGAAAGGGAGGACCTTCAAGAAAACATTCAGACGCCTCAGGTCCAAGACCGGTCGCAAGTCGCCGGTCTTTTTCGGTACAAGAAAATAACGGGAATAAAAGCCCCCTGGATCCAGCAGGGGGTCGACAGGCACGATGGCATCCTTGTCCAGTAGAGTACGAATCTCCCGGACAAGTGCCTGCGCCCTGACCGGGTCCTGGATGACAGTCACAAGGACCCGGCCGGGAACAGGAGGCCGGCGGCGGAACTGGAGACGATACCCCACGGACAAAGTGGCCACAACCCATGCATCGGGGGATTGGGCCCTCCAGTAACCAAGTTGTCCCGGGGTAAACCGTCCCACCACCGGCCCCGGCGCCTCACCGGAGGGCACCCCGGCCTTTAGCGGGCCTGGGGGGGCGACGACTGGGACGCAGTGGAGCCTGAGCCGGGGGAAAGTTCCCCCGCCGAGCCCCATGAGCCGACGGCCCATCCACCGTCCGGGGCACAGAAAAACTCCGGGGCGGGGCCACCCGCCCGCGCACAGGGGCAGCAGAAGCGGACGCACGCGGGGGATGCCTGTGCAGTCCCACCAACTGCTGCCGGGTCTGAGTGGCCTGGACCGTGCGCTCCAGAGCCGCAATGGCAGCCGAGCCAAACAGCTCTCCAGGGAGCACAGGAACGCTCCTCAACACTCTGCGGCTGGCCTCGGAGAGAGGGGACTGCGCCAACCACACCTGGCGGCGAGTCTGAACCAGCGTAGAGAGGAGACGCCCCAGTTCCCTAGACATGAAGGCAAAAGCCTGCAAGGAAGCATCCACCATCCCCTGCGTGGACTGGTCCAATGTGACAGCCTCCAGAGAAGCGGACAGCCCCAGCAGCAGATGAGACAGGGAGTTCCCAATGCGGCCCATGCGGGCCCCCATGTCATAGGCCTTGCAGAGCAGGTCATCTGTGGCCCGACACTGCGGCCGAGGGCACCGGGCATTAGTGCGCAGAGCCTCTTCAGGGTGTACAATCAAGGAGGCAATGGCAGGCTCCACCGCCGGCATATGCCCCAGGCCAACTTTGTCAGGCGCCTGCATAGAAGCCAGGGCCCGACCGTCCGAATTGGGCCTAGAAAAAACCCTCGTGTCAGTCCAACAGGCATGTAGCTCCTTGACATATTCCGCCGAAGGAGGAACAGAGAACCCCGAGGACGCAGACTGGCGGCGAAAGAAGGCACTCGAGGGCCCCGCATCGCACTGAGGCACATCCAGCTTCAAATGCGCCAGAGCCGTTCGGATCGCCGCAGTCACGGGCTCATCGGAAACCGACAGAGACCCGACAGAACCCACCGAACCAGACTCCGAGACCCTGGAGCTCAGAGCATCAGAGCCCGGCCGAAAATGTGTGTCAGATGCCGCCACCGAGAGAGCATCATCCTCATCGCACACCGACAAAGGGACCGAGACCGGTCGGGCCACCGACTGGCCAGTACCAGCCTGAAGGTCATGAAGGAGGGTCCGCAACTGAGCCAACTCCACAGAAAGCGAATCGACCTTCGAAGTCAGAACCCCGCGACCAGAGGACTTCGACTTCTTCCGCAGAGGGTCATCACCCCGGGCGCCCTCACGTTTGCGACCAGGGGGTCGGTCAACCAACAGGGCAGACTCACAGTCCCCAGAATCGCCACTGAAATGTCCGTCCAGGGCCGACAGGCGGGCCACGCGCACCGGCCAGGGCATTACCGCACAATCGGGACATGCACGCTCGGTTAGCGCCTCCCGCAGGTGGCCCACACCCAGACAGGAGGGACACAGCACATGGCCATCGTCCTGCTGCATCGGGGCCAGACAGGACTGGCAGGCCAACGGCTCAAGCATCCCAGCGAGCTAACGCGCAGGAGCAGTCGCCGCCAAGTACAGGGGCACTCCCGGTAGGGTCGGTCGAGCAGAGACGCCACTAGTGACCCACCGAACGCCTCACAGGTTCAGGGAACAACCAATACAGCAGGGTCAGGTCGAGCAGAGACGCCACTAGTGACCCACCGAACGCCGTACACGTGCCGGGAACAACCAATACAGCAAGGTCAGGTCGAGCAGAGACGCCACTAGTGACCCACCGAACGCCGTACACGTGCAGGGAACAACCAATATAGTAGGGTAGTGCGAGCAGAGACGCCACTTACAACCCGCAGAAACACGTGGAACACGCGCAGGCAACAGCCAATTCAACAGGGTCAGGTCGAGCAGACACGCCACCAGTGACCGACAGAAATTAACAAATAATTAACAAGGTAATTAACAAGACACAGGGTCAGGTCGAGCAGAACGCCACTGGTAACCCACCAAACACACTCTGAATACGCGCAGGTAAACAGCCAGATAACAGGGTCGGGTCGAGCAGAAACGCCACTAGTAACCCCTCAATTATAAGAAGTAACGAAAAACAACCGAGCACAAGTCACGGCGAATAAGCAAAACAAACACTCACCAGAGGCAAGCAGCGCGGCTTGCGCAGCCCACGGAGGGCGAGAAACTCGCAGCACCGACCGACGAGCAGTCACGGGGCTACAGGCAGCAAGCGGCGCGAACAACAGGCACAAACAGCTATCAGTTAGCTTCAGCCAGACTCATACAACCTGCATGCGAGAAAGTGAAAAGGGACTGTGCTTCCGGTGTCACGTGGCTTTATAGACTCTCGCGTGAGCTACCGGAGGTCACGGGTGACTTTGTTGTTATTTGACTCTCGATCTGTGCATGCGCGAGGATGATCATCCAGTGCTTAAGCACCGCCTCTGGCGGTCAGGAAGGATGAAATAGAACTCTCTGAAGCCTGATACTGGAAGTGTCCTGCTCCGTGAATTTACATGTAAAAGTGAGCTCCTCTCGCTCAGTAACCAATTGTGTCATACTCACCATTTTGGTCTTAAAAATGTGTTTTTATATTGTGAATGTTGTAAATCTAGATATGAGCCATATGAGGATTGACCAATCAGATTGCCCTAGCAACCATGTTAGCAAAACGTTTGTTTGGTTTCAACGCAATCCAATTGCAATCGGTTTCTTCCGCATTTGGGACAAAAACTGCGGCGACGTCAAACTCGGTCACACACAGACACACAGAGTAAAGAGAGAGACAGAGACCCACACACAGACACGCACTGACTTTCACGGGAGTCCTTCCCATCAACCGGTCACACTAAATGGACAGGACATCCAAGTAGTACAGTCCTACAAATACCTAGGAGTCCACCTGGACCACAGACTGGACTGGTCAGCTCAGACCAATGCTGTCTATCAGATGTTGACTGTGGTAGCTAGTGTGTCCTTTGGGGTCGCTAGTTGGGGCGGCAGTCTGACCTCAATAGACAGTAACCGAATTGACAGGCTGATCAGGAAATGTGTTTCTGTGATGGGGAGAAGTGTGCACATCCTGGGTAACCCCCCCAGACACCATCTGCATGACACTATGGCCGCTCAGAGGAGTAATCGAAGCAACAGGCTCCTATCAATGCGCTGCCGGAACGTTTCAAGAGATCCTTTGTTCCTTCTGCTGTCAGACTGTACAACAAACCTGTATGAGTTAAAAATATGCACTGTTGTAAGTAGTTGGTTAGAAATGTTAGTTAGTTAGAAATAATATATGTACTTTTGTGTTTATATGGATGTGTTTTCTGCTGCTGGACACCTGAATTTCTTCTATGGGGATCAAGAAAATATCTATCTAACTATCACACATACACACAAAGAGAGACAGAGATACACACACACACACACAGAGACAATGACCCACACATACAATAAATTGTGTAATTTTTCTCCCTGAGGGCTTCTCTAAATGTGTGTGTATGTGTCTCTGTGTGTCCAGGGACTACAGTCTGGTGGTCATGGGAGCTCGGGGCCTTCGTTGGCTCGGGCTGAGGTCGCTGAGGGAGATTAGTCATGGGAAGGTCATACTGAGAGACAACCCTGGCCTGTGCTACACTGGCCCTAACCAGTGGGAGATACTCTTTGAGACCAAGGAACAGAGCATCACCTACAAGTCCAATGGCAAGCCCGAGTTCTGCCGTGAGTGTCACATGACTCTCAACACTACTGTACATGAGCAGTGCACAGGGGATTTTGGCTCAGATGATCAGACATTTTGGCTCTGATGAAGACTTCTCTCTCTTACAGTGGCCCTGAACTCCTCATGTGACCCAATGTGCTCGAGTGATGGGTGCTGGGGTCCGGGGCCGACCCTCTGTGTGTCCTGTCTGTACCTGAACAGAGGGGGACGCTGTGTTCAAAGCTGCTACGTGCTAGAGGGGTGAGTCTCTACACCCAGTCCTGGGTCTGTTCTTGGGTTTGGTCTCGGTCCTCTCCAGGTCCTGGTTCAGTTTGAAAGACCCGAATGTTCTGTGTTTGTGTCAGAGAGCCACGGGAGGTGGAGCTGGACGGACACTGTGTCCAGTGTCACTCGGAGTGTAAGGTCCAGGAGGGCGCCTTCACCTGTTCAGGACCTGTAAGTGCAGTCCTGCTTTAGTCCTGATTGAGTCTTGCTTTGGACATGCATTAGACCTGCACATTAGACCTGCACATTAGACCTGCTTTAGTCCTGGTTTAGTCCTGGTTTAGTCCCGCTTTATTCTTGCTTTAGACATGCTTTAGTCCTGCTTTAGTCTAGCTTTAGTCTGCTTTAGTCTTGCTTTAGTCTGCTCTGGACCTTGTTTGCATCTTGGATCTATCTGCATTAGATCCGCTTTAAGTCCATGTCAGACTGCCTTTATACCTGCTTTTGACCTGTTTTAGATCTGCTTTATACCTGCTTTTTCTCTGGTTCCAGGGTCCGGACCAGTGCTCTCTCTGTGCTCATGCCCAGGATGGGGCTGTCTGTGTGGGGCAGTGTCCTCAGGGCGTCTCCCTCCTGGGCACTCAGCTGTGGAAGTACGAGGACGAGGAGCATCAGTGTCAGAGCTGCCATATAAACTGTACCAAAGGGTAAGACCCAGGCCCAGACCAGTGGGGGCGGGTCCCGGCTCAAAAGTGGCCAAAATGACGTGCGCTGACATGCTTGCAATACCACCCCGGGCCGATGGGGGTGGACCCAGAAGTAGAATTAGCCAATGCTAACATACAGCATTGGCAGACCTCTCAAAAACGTCTTTACAGGATGGACCAAAAGTTGGCTCTTGGCCCAAAGCTCCGTTCCACATGTGTGTCAATGCTGAGGGGGGTGAATTTTTTTGGTCCACTCTAGTTTACTTGCTTGAATTTTTGAAGTCTCTCGTTCAAATGAATGGAGCTCTTGCCGGCTGACGCATGCGCAGATGCGTTTTTTCACAATTTTCTTGTGGGCGGGACCACTCGCGGCCATTTTGGATATCTCCAGTAGCGCACATTTTTTAGCCCATTAGTTAGAACGGCGGAGATAGGCGTGACTCTGTCCGTTAATATATACAGTCTATGGCCCAGACTCAAACCAGAGACCAGACCAGACCCAGATCTGAGACCAGACCAAGACCAGGCTCATTCCAGACATCAAAGCAGGCCAAGACCAGGCTGAGACCAGAACTGAAAGGAGGACAAGACTAGACCTAGGTCCAGACCTAAGACTAGAGCCAGGACCCAAATACTGTTGTTAGACTTTCTAACAAACGTGTATTGTGTCCACAGTTGCAACGGCCCCAGCATGTCGGACTGCATCGGGTGAGTCCTGTCCTCCTCCCTCAGAGTCCTGTCCTCCTACCTCAGAGTCCTGTTCTCTTACCTCAGAGTCCTGTTCTCCTCCCTCAGAGTCCTGTGCTCTCTAAACTGTGCCTCCTCCACAGGGAGTCCCGCTCACCTGTCATGGCCGCCGTCATTGTGGGTTCACTCCTCGCCATCGTTCTTGTGGCGCTTGTCGTTTTTGTTCTGCTTCGGCGGCGAAGGATCACAAGAAAGAGGACGCTGAGGAGGATCCTGCAGGAGAGAGAGGTTACCATGGTTACACCTTTCAGTACTGTTGTAAGGCCGTACTATACAGACAAACAGATGGACAATGCTAACCGTCGTGCTCAATGAAGCCCAATAGGGAAGTCCTTCTGGCTCCTCTTGAATTACAAGTAAACTCCTCAGTTATCCTTTGTGTCACACTCACCATTTTTGGCAAAAATCTGTGGTTTAGCGCTCTCTGTGATCCTGGTGTTTGTATTGTTGTCAATATAATTGTAAGGTACAGCATGTGTGAGGCAACAAAAACAGTCGCAATCACAACTATCTCCAGCCCAAACGTTCAAGATATTGGAAGTTATTTCCTCTGCGCGTGAAAGTCACGTACAATATACTGTAAAAAACATCAATATCAAACTGACTTGAATGAAAACATAAACTTAAGGGTAGCCTTTATTTGACAATTAAATTCATTTCTACCATGTTAAATAGTTCTATACAGTGTTAAAAGCGAGAACAAAAGCAGAGATTAATAAGCTTATGCTGGACCAATCCAAATACCTTTTTTTGTTATGAAGGCTCAATCCCTCAAGGTTTAGAAGGCTAGGGCAGGCATCACAGTCACAGTCTGTATCACAGTCTGTATCACAGTCTGTATCACAGTCTGTATCACAGTCTGTATCACAGTCTGTATCACAGTCCGTGTCACAGTCTGTATCACAGTCTGTATCACAGTCTGTATCACAGTCTGTGTCACAGTCTGTATCACAGTCTGTATCACAGTCTGTGTCACAGTCTGTATCACAGTCTGTATCACAGTCTGTGTCACAGTCCGTGTCACAGTCTGTGTCACAGTCTGTATCACAGTCTGTGTCACAGTCTGTATCACAGTCTGTATCACAGTCTGTATCACAGTCTGTGTCACAGTCTGTATCACAGTCTGTGTCACAGTCTGTATCACAGTCTGTATCAGTCTGTATCACAGTCCGTGTCACAGTCCGTATCACAGTCTGTAACCCAGTCTGTATCACAGTCTGTAACCCAGTCTGTATCACAGTCTGTAACCCAGTCTGTATCACAGTCTGTATCAGTCTGTATCACAGTCTGTGTCACAGTCCGTATCACAGTCCGTATCACAGTCTGTGTCACAGTCCGTGTCACAGTCCGTGTCACAGTCTGTGTCACAGTCCGTGTCACAGTCTGTATCACAGTCTGTGTCACAGTCCGTGTCACAGTCTGTGTCACAGTCCGTGTCACAGTCTGTGTCACAGTCCGTGTCACAGTCTGTGTCACAGTCTGTATCACAGTCTGTGTCACAGTCTGTATCACAGTCTGTATCACAGTCTGTGTCACAGTCCGTGTCACAGTCTGTGTCACAGTCTGTATCACAGTCTGTGTCACAGTCTGTATCACAGTCTGTATCACAGTCTGTGTCACAGTCCGTGTCACAGTCTGTGTCACAGTCCGTGTCACAGTCTGTGTCACAGTCCGTGTCACAGTCTGTATCACAGTCTGTATCACAGTCTGTGTCACAGTCTGTATCACAGTCTGTATCACAGTCTGTGTCACAGTCCGTGTCACAGTCTGTGTCACAGTCTGTATCACAGTCTGTGTCACAGTCTGTATCACAGTCTGTATCACAGTCTGTATCACAGTCTGTGTCACAGTCTGTATCACAGTCTGTGTCACAGTCTGTATCACAGTCTGTATCAGTCTGTATCACAGTCCGTGTCACAGTCCGTATCACAGTCTGTAACCCAGTCTGTATCACAGTCTGTAACTCAGTCTGTATCACAGTCTGTAACCCAGTCTGTATCACAGTCTGTATCAGTCCGTATCACAGTCTGTGTCACAGTCCGTATCACAGTCCGTATCACAGTCTGTGTCACAGTCCGTGTCACAGTCCGTGTCACAGTCTGTGTCACAGTCCGTGTCACAGTCTGTGTCACAGTCCGTGTCACAGTCTGTGTCACAGTCTGTATCACAGTCTGTATCACAGTCTGTGTCACAGTCCGTGTCACAGTCTGTGTCACAGTCCGTGTCACAGTCTGTGTCACAGTCCGTGTCACAGTCTGTATCAGTCTGTATCACAGTCCGTATCACAGTCCGTATCACAGTCTGTGTCACAGTCCGTGTCACAGTCCGTGTCACAGTCTGTGTCACAGTCCGTGTCACAGTCTGTGTCACAGTCTGTGTCACAGTCCGTATCACAGTCCGTATCACAGTCTGTGTCACAGTCCGTGTCACAGTCCGTGTCACAGTCTGTGTCACAGTCCGTGTCACAGTCTGTGTCACAGTCTGTATCACAGTCTGTATCACAGTCTGTATCACAGTCTGTATCACAGTCTGTATCACAGTCTATCTGTGTCTCAGCTCGTGGAGCCGCTCACCCCTAGTGGCCAGGCCCCAAACCAGGCCCTGCTGCGGATCCTGAAGGAGACCGAGATCAGGAAAGTCCGAGTCCTGGGCTCCGGAGCCTTTGGGACAGTCTACAAGGTAAACACTGTCTCTGGACCTGGCCTGGATCAGGTCTGGACCTGGTCTGGACCCGCTCTTGACCCAGTCTCTCTGGTTCCAGGGCCTTTGGTTTCCGGAGGGGGAGCAGGTGAAGATCCGTGTGGCCATCAAAGTACTGAGAGAAGCAACGTCTCCTAAAGCAAACCAGGAAATCCTCGACGTAAGTTAAAACAAATCTTCCATCAGCTTTCAGTTATGTCCAGTTCAAACAGCTCTTCTATCTGTTGGTCCTCAGGAGGCGTACGTGATGGCAAGTGTGGACCACCCTCACGTCTCGCGGCTCCTCGGTGTGTGTCTGACCTCCGCGGTGCAGCTGGTCACTCAGCTCATGCCCTATGGCGCATTACTTGACTATGTGCGACATCACCAACACCTGGTGGGAGCCCAGAGGATCCTCAACTGGTGTGTGCAGATTGCAAAGGTGAGCAGCCAAAAGAAGAGAAGTTTAACTGGACTCATCTGAAGCCGATTTGGACATTTCTCATGTTTTGCTCTTGTCTCAGTTAATTCTGGCTTTAGTCTGTAATCCTCTCTGACCTCGCTTCTGTGGTTCCCATCATGATGAAGAGTCTCCAGAGGAAACTAAGCTCAGAACACATTTGCATTTCTGCATCGAAACAATACAGCCTTTCATATCATTACTATACCTGATACATGCAGACCATAAATCTCAGCTAAAGCTACATCATTTTCAGTTTGATCTTTCTGATCTTGGTATTTATTAAAATAAAGTTATGTAAGTCAGCTTGAAATATTTGAATCAGGTTTACCTGATCTAAATCTGGTCTAAACCAGGTCAAAACCTGGTCTAAACCTGGACAAAAATCTGTCTAAACCCTGTCTCTTTCAGGGAATGTCATACCTGGAGGACCGACACCTTGTGCACAGAGACCTCGCGGCTCGAAATGTTTTGGTGAAATCTCCAAATCACGTGAAGATTACAGACTTTGGGTTAGCCAAGCTTCTGACGGCCAACGAGAGCGAATACCATGCGGACGGGGGCAAGGTGGGTCTGGTTTGGTATGGTCTAGTCCGGTCTGGTCTGGTCCGGTCCATTCTGGTTTTGTCTGGTCTGGTTCTGTCTGGTTCAGTCTGATCTGGTCTGGTCCACGCTGGTTAAATCTGGTCTGGTTCAGTCTGGCCTGGTTTGGTCTGGTCCAGTCTGGATCAATCTGATCTGATCCGGTTCAGTCTGGTCTGGTCTGGACTGGTCTGATTACTACGGTGTCCTGCAGGTGCCCATAAAGTGGATGGCTCTGGAGTCCATTCTGCAGTCAACGTACACGCACCAGAGCGACGTGTGGAGCTACGGTCAGTGCCTTTAAACACAGGTTTAGAATGTGACATCACCATTTTCAGAACATCTCCAGTCTGTGGAAGAAGTCACCGTTCAGAACCTTAAGCCTAGCGTACATCGACAGAGTAACTTGAGACATCTAGTTGCAAGGCGGCTTTTGGCAACTGAGAGTAGATGATGGGAGATGATCAGTTGCCGAAATCGGTCGATGTGAGCGCTCTTACAACTGGAGATAAACAGTCAATCTTCGGATTCAGTCAGTTACCCGTGTTCTACTTTTCGGCAACAAGTTGTACTCAGATCCGGAGATATCACCTGATGTGCGCGCTCCAACAACATGTGTTGAGAGTGTTATCATGTGACGTAGGCGCGCCCTCTACAGTTTATGTCAGAAAACACACTGTAGTTGAGGCCAGTTGCTGTCGATGTACGCGCTGTTATTCCCGAGACTGGTCTGCTACTGGGAGTTGCCCGTTTTCGCCACATTGTCGATGTGTGCGGGGCAGCTCATAGGCGACGGTTATAATCAGTTGCCAGTCCGATGTACGCTAGGCATTAGTCTCTGATCTCATTTCTCAGTTGCAAAAGTGGTGTGTGCATAGTACTTGTTTTATTTATGATATTAATAATCATATTTTTGCTGTTTCCTCTTCTTCAGGAGTGACCGTGTGGGAGCTGATGACTTTCGGCTCCAGACCATACGACGGGATTTCTGCCCCAGAGATCTGCTCTGTCCTGGAGCGAGGAGAGCGACTCCCTCAGCCTCCAATATGTACTATAGACGTCTACATGATCATGGTGAAATGTGAGTGTGAACCCAGTCTGGACCAGGGCTGGAGCAGGACTGCACCAGAACTCGTCCAGGTGCAGGACTGAAGCAGAACTTGACGGGGTCTGAACTAGTTGTGATCCAGGTCTCTGCCACAGGCTGGATGATCAACCCGTCCAGTCGACCTCGTTTCTGGGAGCTGGTCCGAGACTTCTCAGAAATGGCCCGTGACCCTCAGCGCTTCCTTGTCATTCAGGTGAACACTGTGACTTCATCACACATCGCTTTCAGAAGGTCAGAAGGACACACAAGATGGCCACCACATCGAGGCCCAAAATGGCCACCAAAGTCTCCACAGCAGAGGATCTCAAATTCATGTGTCTTCCTTTAGGGGAAGCTTTTCTTTTCAATTATTTTTATATTTACAATAGTCCCTGGTTTATCACGGGGGTTGATTTAAAAAGATAACCCACAATAAGTCAAATCCTTGAAGTAGCAGCTGTATGTTTTAAGGCTGTAAAACCCCTCACACCTACACATACTCATACACTTTTACCCACCTGACCTGTTCTCCTTACAACGCTGTATGTGTGTGTCCTGTAGGGGCAGCTCCCGAGCCCGAGCGACAGCCGCTTCTTCTCTCGTCTCCTCAGCACGGATGACGAAGTCGATGCAGAAGAATACTTGATGCCTTACCGTGAGGGAGGGGCTGGCCTGGGCTGCGGGCAGGGTTCCGTCGCCACGGCAACGGTTAGTAGGAGTGTGTGTTTCTGTGAGTCTGTGTGTGTGTGTTGATGATATTTATGTTTGTGTGTTTGTAGAATGGAGCAGTGCGGCGAGGGAACGATATGGCTCTGCGCTACATCGCCGACCCCACAGTCAGAGAAGAAGAAGAAGACCACGGTGAGCTCCTCCCCTGTCTGTGACAGACTGTGACAGTCCTCACCAGGTTTATGTAAATAGGAGCAGACTGTTGCACACCATTCAATTTCGCAGGAAATGAACATCTGGCATCCCTACTGACCAGTGTTGTGCGTGAACGAGTTCAAATTAACGCGTTCATTGAACACGCTCATCTTTTGTGAACGTTGAACTGAACGCGACACATTTTTTAATAAAGATGTGTCATGAATGGCAGACATAACTCTAAATGAAAGTTGGAATTTGTTTTCCATTGAAAACTGAGTGACATCTGTTTTCTCTTTTGAAACGCCTCGAGAGAAAGTTCCTCCCTCCTGTATTCTCCGCACTTTTTCCACCGAAAACAAAAAATTCCCACGGTTTCCACCGTCTGTGAAGGCCCCAACTCTGTGTTGCGGTGCGGCGCTGTATGCTAGTGCTTTTCATGGGTTGTTGATAGAGGTGCACCGATCGATCGGTAGCCGATCAAAAAGACCGATCATATGACATGGAGATTTGTGCGCACAAGTTACTTTCTCTTGTCAAAATTGCGTAAACAAGCAATTCATGCAGCTATCAGTTACGGAGACTGTACAGCGGCAAAATCCACACAGTAATGACTGTAAGAAACAAAACGAAATATGCATGAAAGTTATAGAATTTTCCCTCTGCCCCCAGCGCTTGTCTATTGCGGAAAGCGCTGGGTTCAAACGGCTCATGTCCACTGCTTCAATATGCCATCATGGAAATATTTGACTGATGTCTGCCTGCCGCAGCTTTACCAAACTGTATTCTCACATTGACACTCCAAGCCCAGCCAGAGCATGGATCTATTATAATAACGAGCCAGAGTCACACCGCGCAGACACAGGAACAGCAGCGCTGAGCTCCGAGCCACAGGCAGAAATATCCCGCGTCTGGACTTTGCATGTTATGTGTTACGTGGTGGAAAGGAGGAGGGACCCAAAATTCAATACTGCAAAAATATAATTTAATCCAACCAAGAATCCAAAAAATCTAAACTGAAAAAACACAAGAACTGAAGACGAACCAAGAAAAAACATTCAATGGACTGACAAGAGGGAAAGAGCACAGGGAATTTAACTGAGAGACAGGTGAAACAAATCAGGGTGTGGCAGACAATCAACAGGAAGTAAAACTCCCAAAGACACAGGGGAACAGAATTACAAAATAAAACAGGAACCAAAAATGACCACCATGACATTATGTTCACAGAAATGTTGGAGGGAGATGAGTGTAGTGGTAGTACAGACAGTACAGTGCCGCTTACCGAGGCCTCGGAGCAGACAGCCGCTTGATTATTGGAAGGAAAATAAAAGCCGCTTCGCTGCTTTAGCCAAAGCAGCGAAGCGGCTTTTATTTTCCAGATCTTTCCTCCGCACTCCTTGGACAAGTACAGACAGTGAGCGGATGTTTAGTGCTGCAGGACTTTTCAGGAGGATGATAAACGTAATAAACTAATACCTGCTAATGCTGAGATGGTAATATTCCTGAAGAAAAAACATTGCCTCAACTATCTCTTCTTAATCAGTTTAGAAATGCAGCATGTACAGTATTGCTGTATTTCAATGCTCTGTAACGTTGTGGTTCCCAACCTTTTTGTCTTGAGTACCCCTAGAGAATTTTATTTATACTACCTAGTACCTTGATGGTTTTGAAAGATTAGTTTTAAAGTGAATAACTAGTCCTATTCATTTATCACAAAAAATATCTATTTGATCGGATCGGCCATGATTGTTATCGGCAGATCAAAACTTTAATGATCGGTGATCGGCCCAAAAATTCCTGATCGGTGCACCTCTAGTTGTTGGACTCATATGTGCCTGAGTCGTGATGAAAACAAAGGGTGAGTTAGCGACACAGGACCAACCGTTTACATTTGACATAAAGTATAGACACACACACTGCAGCGCATTACTGTCTGTAGTACTTATGAGCAGAGACGGGACAACTCAGTTTTGCTCCCATTGAAAACCTTGTAAACCTTGTCTGTTTTGGAGTCAAAAGGCTCTCGGTGCAGGTGCGGTGTACAGGAGATTATATATATATAATAGCATAGTGATTTCTAGCTCGTAGTGTCAAAAAAGTATATATTTCAATATCTCACAAAAAAAGTAAAATGAACTGAACTTTGAACTAGTTCAGAAGTAAAATTGTGAACTTTGAACGTGAACTGTTCACTTTGAGCATGTATGAACTGAACTTGAACTAGTTCAGAAAATCTGTGAACTGGCACAACACTGCCACTGACTGTCTGTTTGTGTGTGTGTGTTTGTGTACGTGCAGAATACATGAACCAGACCGTGGACCAGGCCGATGTTGGGGCCTGTGGGTCTGATGTCTTCAACCCCAACTATGAGGACCTGACCCTGAAGTGGACTGGATCAGGTGTGGCTTCTGCTCTGGAGGAACCAGGGTCTGCAGAGTACCTGAACACCCCTAGGATACAGCAGAGGTTACCAGCCATATCTGCGGAGCTCCCTGAGTACATGAACCCGGACTGGGACCAGGGAGGACCGGACTACGCAAATTCAGACTATGTGAACTCGGGCGACAGAAGCAGCTCCACTGTTACCCACAATGCTCTATTCCTCCCAGCGGCAGAAAACCTGGAGTACATGGCTCTGGCACCGGTTCGCTAAGACAAAAGACTCAAATTAGTTCAAGGGCACACCTGGTTCCGTCCTGGTTCCGTCCTGGTTCCGTCCTGGTCTGTCCTGATTCAGTCCTTGCTATGTCCTGGTTCAAGCCTTGTTCTGTCCTGGTTCTGTCCTGGATCTGTCCAGGTTAAGTTCTGGTTCAGTCCTGGGTCAGTCCTCTTCATGTCAGCAGCTCAAACCTCAGGGACCTGGTTTATTTTGTATATCTCTCTGGTTCATTTGATATTTGTAATTTTATGAAGTGTTATCGTTGAAACGGTGTGTGTTTGTGTGTCTCGTTTGTGTGTGTGTGTGTGTGTGTATGTGTGTGTCTGGTGTGCATGTGTTTTGGAATGTTACTTGAAATTGATTGTGTTTAATCTCAGCAGGGGGTCCAAACTATTGACCCTATAAGGATGACATCAATTATGTCTGTTTTCCATTTTTCAATCAAAACAACAGTTTTGGATACCTCTGTTGTTATAGAGGCTGTGAGTCTGGGCTCGACCTGGTTCAGTGATGACTTGGATCTGGTTTAGTCCTACTTATAACTAGGGCTGGGCAATAAATCGAATTTAAGCAATTAATCGGCTTTTGAAAAAATCGAATTTGTGAAAAATGTGAAAATCGTGAAATCGAATGAAGGATATTCTGAGAGTTCCAGCAGCACATGAATTATACTTGCAATATCAGCACAGTCTGTGCAAGACTTTTAAAATACGTATTTGGGGAAACAAAATAAAAATGGTTTTGAAACTTGATTATTGAGTGGAAAGATCAAAACATATTTTTAAGGCCAAACTTTAATGAAAATCGATTTAAAATCAAAATCGTCCAAAGCAGGAAATAAAATTGAGATTTTACTTTTTTGCCATATCGCCCAGCCCTACTTATAACCGTCGTAGTAGACCTGGTCTCAGCCCTTGTCTTGGCCCTTCTTGTCCCAGTCCTGGTCCTGATTCTGGTCCCAGTCCAGACTCACATCAGCCTCAGCTCTTTGTTGAATGTTTTGTAAAATGTGTTGACCAGCTTTTGTAGCGATGTGTTTACAGCCGCTGTGCGTTTGGACACCAACCTTCAGCCATCTCTGAAAAAAATGTGATTTAAAATAAATGTAAATGTAGTCCTGGTTTAGACCTACTTTAGTCTTGCATAGTCCTGCTTTAGTTCTAGTTCAGACCTTCTTTAGACCTGTTTTAGACCTGCTTTAGACCTGATTTAGTCCTACTTTATTCCTGCTGTAATCCTTCTTAAAGACCTTCTTTAGTCCTGGTTTAGACCTGGGATAGACCTGGTTCAGACCTGCTTTAATCCTGCTTTAGACCTGTTTTACTGCTGTTTTACGCCTCACAGACGTTGAATTCAACACATGTTCAATGATAACACCGCCACCCGGTGGTACGAAACTGGGAGATTGCATTGTAAAGTGTATTTATCACAAGTTTACTGCTGTGTTATAATTAAATATGGATAATGCCTAAAATTTGTGTAAATATTTATTCTTCAAATAAACTGTATGAATGAGACCATTCGTTTAACCCGCTTTATTGTGTAGAGCAGTCCAGAAGCGCTTCAGTCACATGAATAGCTGCTTAACTCCTGTTAAACATGCCGTCGCTTCTTGTCCCCTTCAAACAGCTCAAACCCGGATTTGATCACTTTTATCGTGGTTTTGTGCAGCGCTGCGGGAGCCACTGCGCAGAAGTGAAGCGGCGGCGTACATCAAAGTCAAACAAAGGTAATGGCATCAGCGGGCTTATGCTCAGGCTAGTAACAACCAGACATACAATAACATAACAAAACTGTACTGGCAGTTCTGTCTGAACACACGAGAACACATGGATGAAAACCAGACTGCATGTTTATCAAAGGTTTGAAGAGTATAGTTTTTTAAGTGAAAGAGAAAGTCTATTTCTGCTACTTCCGTTTGTCAAGTTTGCTGACATTACCATGGATCTATAAGCACATTAAGATTGCTAATATCCGTTTCTTTCAAATTGAAGCTATAACTTAACGCTATATTTGTCATGTATGATAAGATAATATTGTACACAGAAAAGGTCTCAAAGTAAAATGTTGTGAACAAGTCAGACCACAACATGCTGTCTAGCTACATCTAATTAGAAAACATGTTAACTTTTGTGAGTCACCATTTGTCTATTTGGGCTGAGAGCTGAGTGAGGGTGGGGAAGTTTTTTTCACTTTTCTGCCTGAAAAAGCTCATCTAAAGATGTGACAGAGGCCAAAAATAATGCATGATGTGAAAACTAGGGATAGAAGCAAAATGTATTAAAGCCAGGAAGAGTCATGGGTTTATTACAGTGTTCTTTTGGCGTGGTCTAACATTGAAGTTATGTTATCTTTAAAGTTTTTTACCCCAGCTTTGACAGAGGAACTACGCCATTTGTGCTGTTTTGTCGCAGGAGCTGACTGTGGTCGTCCACTAGATGGGATCAGAGTCTTGGATTTAACCAGGTAACCTTCAGCGTCAGTGTGGTCCATTTGTGACTTGTGAGTAGTTTTAGATTTTCTTCCCCTAAACCACATGTTCAACCTGCTGTAAAAGGTATAAATGTTCTGTGTTCCTCAGAGTTCTGGCCGGTCCTTTTGCCTCAATGCTCCTGGGGGATCTGGGAGCCGAAGTCATCAAAGTGGAGAAACCAGGTCTGAACATAGATCCATGGGTCTGAACCAGGACTAAACCAGGACTGTACTAGAGCTAAACAAGATCTCAACCAGAACTGAATCTGTACTAAACCAAGTCTAAACCAGGACTGAACCAGGACTGAACCAGAACTAAAACAGGGCTAAAGTGAACCTAAACCAGATCTGAATCAGGTCTCTTCGGTAGGTTCTGGAGATGACACCAGAGCCTGGGGTCCTCCATTCATGGGGACAGAGAGCGTCTACTTCCTCAGCGTCAACAGGAACAAGAAGGTGAAGACCGAGACTCAGATGTGCTTTAAATTATACACTCAGCAGAAATGTGGATGAGGTTCTATATCCTCTCACGTCTCTCGCTCTGATCTCTCTGTTCTTTCTCGCCGGTCCCTCTTTCTGGGCTCTCTGGTCCCTCTCTTTGGGCTCTCTAGGTCTGTTTCTCTCTGATCTCTCTCTCTAGTCGCTCTCTGGTCACTGTCTGGTCTCTCTGGTCTCTTTCTGATCTCTCTCTGGTTACTCTAAAAGGCCTCACCTAACAAGGAGGTTAATCTTGTTTTAAGAGATTATGAATGAAAAATAATCAGTCAAATGAAAAATAACTTGTTTTTCACTATCTCTCCATCTGTGTCTGTGGGGTTTGGCTAAGGACAGTGTTTTGAGCAGCGCTCTTTGGGTGTCTTGGTCAAAGGGGACTGTCTGAGCGCCGTGTGAAAGAGGATTACAGCTAGGGACAGGCTTCATTTGGTCGCAGTTTGAGCTGTAAATGTGTCTCTAGAACTGACAGACACTATGGGGAGGGTCAAGACAGTAGACCCCAAGCCACAGAAAAGTGTACTATTGCTAATACTATCACTGAGTCTGCACCAGGAGCCTGCACCAGGATCCTGCACAGTCTGTAAATGTAACCATACAAACACACACACACAGGTATATAGTCTGTTCACTTTGGTTTATTGTCATTTGTAGTGTTTATCATTGTAATTTTGTTATTCTGTGACTCACTGTTATTGACATAAATATAGTGCCACCTAATGAATGAATACTGGCCATTTTTTCTGGCACAGTTTGTCATGGGCTCTACTTTCAATATAGATAGATACTTTATTGATCCCCGTAGGAGAAATTCAGGTTTCCAGTAGCAGCAAAAACGCATCCATCCACACAAACAAAACAAATAAATTGATCATTCTAAAAAGCTAACAATAGTAAGACTAATAATAAGAAACAGCACTTCAGGTCACAGCAGCAGAGGTGGTGCAGCCGCTGGGTGGAGCAGGACTGGTCAATATGTAAATGTTGACATCTTTTTAATGAGTACTTTTTGAAATGTTCAAGTAACACTTTGTGGATGTGGGTGTGTGTGCCATAAAACGTATTATTTTGCATGAAAAACACGTTCTTTTAATTGGTTGTTTCTGTTTTCTAGAATGTACGATACATACTGGGCATGTGTGACGAGACATAGTATGTAAGAGTCTAGTATGTAAGAAAATAAATAGTGTTACTGTCACTTTTCTTTATGGTGCGTCTGTTTACACAATCACCTCATTTTCTCTGCTTTTTGACTGGTGATTTCTGTCACACTCTCCTCTTTTCGACTGGCTATTATAGGAAAGTGAAGCAAGCTAGAAACAAGCTTCTTTTTGCTGCTGAAAATAGACAGTCCAGTGTTTCAGAATCATATTTCACACAGTCATAGCAAACAATATTCTGTGGGTCTTGAAACTCAGTGAAATCATCAAAAATGGCTGGCGGTCGAAGAGCTACACTAGGATGTGTAAACTCTCAACACAACTGTACATATAACATTGTGTCTGTGTATATGTGTTTATGTGTGTGTGTGTGTCTCTGTGTGTATGTGATTCCAGAGCATTGCAGTCGATATGAAGCATCCTGATGGAGCCAGAGTCCTCAGAGAGGTGACACACACACACACACTCTCCTTCTTTCCTCGCCTCTCCCTCCTCCCCCTTCTCCCTCACTCTCTTCCTTTTATTTCTTTGCAGTTGGCCGCTGTGAGTGACGTACTGGTGGAGAACTTTCTCCCAGGTAAACTTTCTGAGTTTGGACTCGGGCCAGAGCAGCTGAGAGCGGAGAACCCAGAGCTGATCTACTGTTCCATCACAGGTGATCTACTTGTTTCTCTGGTCTTTCTCTCTGGTTTCTGGTCTCAGTCGTGGTCTCAGTCGTGGTCTCAGTCGTGGTCTCAGTCGTGGTCTCAGTCGTGGTCTCAGTCCTGGTCTCAGTCCTGGTCTCAGTCCTGGTCTCAGTCCTGGTCTCAGTCCTGGTCTCAGTCCTGGTCCCAGTCCCGGTAATGTTTCAGTAAAATACCATTCAAACCTCCAGGCGTTTGGAACAGTCTCAGCTGGACTGGTCCCACAGCAAGAAGGGCCAAAGTCTCCTCCACCCTCTGAGGAGACTGAGGTCCTTCGGACTTTTGTGACTCTGACTCTACTATCCACTATGCTGCTTTGTGCTGGGCCTGGGTAGCACACAGGAAAAGACTGAACAAGTTGGTCAGGAGGGCTAGCTCCGCTCTGCCCCTGGACTCTGTGGAGGAGGTGATGGACTGGAGGGTGTTAACCAAACTCACCTCCATCATGGACAACACCTCCCACTGCACAGGACTGTAGAGGAGCTGAGGAGCTCCTTCAGTGGAAGACTGAGGCACCCTCAGTCTGCGCTACCGCAGGGCGTCGTTCCCACTGCTTTCAGACTGTGCAATACAGTGAGTCACTTAATGATGCATATAGGACACCATTATTGTGCACAATATACATGTGACATGTGCAGGTTACTTTGTCCCCTTTTTAATGCCACATTTTATAAATGTCTTTGTGTCAGTCCGCCATTTTGTATTGTAGGCCAACCCATGTGGGTGGAGCCATCTCATTTTAAAAGCTCTGAGGTGAACCTTGTCAGGAGAAGATACACCCAAGGGACAGGACGGTTTGTTACTTTGTCCAAAATAAATCTTTGATTTACACTTTTTATGATGAGTTCTGCCATGTGATTTTGACACTCCACACAATACATTATACCTTATCATCTTTTATTTTCTATGTTTGCATATTTTGTGTTGTTTACACATATTTCTCTCTCTATTTGTCTATTTGCACAAGCTGAGCAATCTCTCCCTATTGTGATCAATAGTTTTATCTTATCTTATCTTAGCTGCCCTGGGGTCTGATGCTTTAGTCCTGCTTTAGTCCTGCATTAGACCTGCTTTAGACCTGTTAGACCTGCTTTAGTACTGCTTTAGACCCGCTTTAGTTCTGCTTTTGACTTGCTTTGGTCGCATGTGTCCTCATAGCTCTCCAGTTCGATCTTCCCTAAACTTTATCTCATCTGTCAAAAACAACACATTTCTGATCACCAAGCATTTAGGAGTCTAGGCCTGGACCAGAACCAGTCCTGGTTCTACAGTGTAATCTGATTTCTTCGGTCAAAAGAAGATAGAATTTATGCTCGTGTATCTACTATCTATCTTTAGTCATGTACATGTTCAACAAAAAGAGAAACTCAGATACCCCAGTTTTATGTCATTACACACAGTTTTAAGTATTACATACAGTCTCTGCTGGTCTCTTACAGTAGACCCTGATCCCTGGTTTGTGTTGCAGGCTACGGTCAGAATGGTCCGTCTTCTAGTCGTCCTGGTTACGACTCTATCCTCTCAGCGGAGTCTGGGATGATGCATATCACAGGACCAGAGGTGAGGCCCCACCCTCTGTCCACCAGGTGTTGGCAGGGGGAGGGCCCAGCTGTGAGCAGGGGTAGGGGCCAGTGCCTGATCTCCTATGATGCCTTGCAGGGCGGGGAGCCGGTGCGCCCGGGTGTGGCCATGACAGATCTGGCCACTGGACTCTACGCTCACGGATCCATCATGGCGGCCCTTCTACAGAAACAGAGGAGCGGAGTGGGGGCCCACATTGATTGCAACCTGCTGTCCTCCCAGGTACAACACTGTTATGCTCTAAAGCTCAGGCACAGACCACACCAATAGAACTCTGTAAGATTCCTATGTTTCTAGTTTTCACATCATATATTTCTGACCTCTGTCACATCTTTAGATCAGCTTTTTCAGACGGAAAAGTAAAAAAGAGAGGACCACGCTTACTCAGCCAATGAGCTCGTCAAAGAGTCAAACAGTGACTCACAAGGCTCTTTATTACACTAAAGATGAAGACAGCATGTTGTGGTCTAATGTAATATTTCACTTGGAGACTATCTCTGTTTCTGTCAAACCACATTATTTATAAGACTAAAGTTACGTATCCCAGCCCTATACATGTGTTATTTATGAGACTAAAGTTAAGTACCCCTGATGCTTGTCTGTTTGTAAAGAGGGAAAGTCGTCCATTTCTCTGTACAAACCTCACAACAAAGCACCCACATAGCAGCAGATTAGTGTACAGAGCACATCTGCGCCAAAATGTCAGCGTGTCCTGTGGGAAAGAGCGCAGTTCCAGGGTCAGACAGAGGAGGCGCTGACAGCTGTGACGAGGGGCCAATAAAACACCAGCATTTAAATCATTGAGAGGAATGTGAAAACCAGGTCTGAACCAGGTCGAAACCACGTGTAAGCCAGGACCAAACCAGGACAAGTCTAAAGAAGGACTAAAGCTGGAGCCAATACAACTCACTGGGAAATCAAACATTTGAAACTTTGAAAAAAAATTGTGCTGTTGTCTTCTCAGATCATGATTGTTTGGATTTTCTAAATCCTCCATCCTCTCTCCCGTCTCCTCTCTCCTGTCTCCTCCATCCTCTCTCCCGTCTCCTCCATCCTCTCTCCTGTCTCCTCACTCCTGACTGCTCCCTCCTGTCTCCGTCTCCACTCTCCCGTCTCTTCTCTCCGGTCTCCTATCTCCCCTCTCTTGTCTCTGGTCTCCTCTCACCTGTCTTTTGTCCTTCTGCAGGTGTCCTGTCTCAGTCACATCGCTGCAAACTTTCTGAATTCTGGAAAAGAAGGAAAACGCTGGGGAACGGCCCACGAGAGCATTGTACCTTATCAGGTATTTATGCTGCTTTAGACTGCTTTAGTCCTGGTATAGTCCTGCTTTAGTCCTGCTATAGTTATATAGTTATATATAGCGGCACGGTGGCTGAGTGGATAGCACTCTCGCCTCTCAGCAAGAAGGTCCCGGGTTCGTATCCCGGTCGGACCAGGGCCTTTCTGAGTGGAGTTTGCATGTTCTCCCCGTGTCTGCGTAGGTTTCCTCCGGGTACTCCGGTTTCCCCTACCACTAAAAATATGTCCAATAGTTCTGGCATGCGCTTCCTGTACTGGCGACCCCGCTCCCATCTCTGTGTGGAGTGAGAGACAAATGCCCAAAATTAACAATTGTAAACCGCTTTGAGACTCAGATCTGCAGTGAAAAGGCGGTATATAAATAAAAACTTACTTACTTACTATAGTTCTGCTTTAGACCTGCTGTAGTCCTGCTATAGTTTTGCTATAGTCCTGCTATAGTCCTGCTATAGTCCTGCTATAGTCCTGCTATAGTCCTGCTTTAGACCTGCTGTAGACCTGCTGTAGTCCTGTTTAAGACCCGCTTTGGTCCTGCTTTAGCCCTGTTCTGTCCCCTTCAGAGCGTGGGTCTCTATAATCATTGTGTGAAAACCACAGCGTTTGACGTCATTCATTGTGCATTAGTGTCACTCACACCGCCATTATCTGAATACGCCTCTCAATCAAACCTCCCAATTATAACAGGAGAATAATCAGACACCAGAGAAAGACCAGAGAGCGAGACCAGAGAGCGAGACCAGAGAGCGAGACCAGAGAGCGAGACCAGAGAGCGAGACCAGAGAGCGAGACCAGAGAGCGAGACCAGAGAGCGAGACCAGAGAGCGAGACCAGAGAGCGAGACCAGAGAGCGAGACCAGAGAGCGAGACCAGAGAGCGAGACCAGAGAGCGAGACCAGAGAGCGAGACCAGAGAGCGAGACCAGAGAGCGAGACCAGAGAGCGAGACCAGAGAGCAGACCAGAGAGCGAGACCAGAGAGCGAGACCAGAGAGCGAGACCAGAGAGCGAGACCAGAGAGCGAGACCAGAGAGCGAGACCAGAGAGCGAGACCAGAGAGCGAGACCAGAGAGCGAGACCAGAGAGCGAGACCAGAGAGCGAGACCAGAGAGCGAGACCAGAGAGCGAGACCAGAGAGCGAGACCAGAGAGCGAGACCAGAGAGCGAGACCAGAGAGCGAGACCAGAGAGCGAGACCAGAGAGCGAGACCAGAGAGCGAGACCAGAGAGCGAGACCAGAGAGCGAGACCAGAGAGCGAGACCAGAGAGCGAGACCAGAGAGCGAGACCAGAGAGCGAGACCAGAGAGCGAGACCAGAGAGCGAGACCAGAGAGCGAGACCAGAGAGCGAGACCAGAGAGCGAGACCAGAGAGCGAGACCAGAGAGCGAGACCAGAGAGCGAGACCAGAGAGCGAGACCAGAGAGCGAGACCAGAGAGCGAGACCAGAGAGCGAGACCAGAGAGCGAGACCAGAGAGCAAAATGCATGAGAAAATAGTGATAGAAGCAAACTGTTTTAGAGCCAGGAACTAGAGACATTTTATTAATTACATTACAAAAAGTATAAATTATCAATAGCATTTTGTGTGTTGTGTCCAGGGCTTCAAGACGTCAGATGGGCACATCGTGGTCGCCGTGGGGAACGACACTCAATTTGTGCAAGTTTGTGAGGTTTGTCTCAACACACACAGGACCCAGACCAGAGAGAAACCAGAGAGAGACCAGAGAGACCAGAGAGACCAGAGAGACCAGAGAGACCAGAGAGACCAGAGAGACCAGAGAGACCAGAGAGACCAGAGAGACCAGAGAGACCAGAGAGACCAGAGAGTGAGACCAGAGAGTGAGACCAGAGAGTGAGACCAGAGAGTGAGACCAGAGAGTGAGACCAGAGAGTGAGACCAGAGAGTGAGACCAGAGAGTGAGACCAGAGAGTGAGACCAGAGAGTGAGACCAGAGAGTGAGACCAGAGAGTGAGACCAGAGAGTGAGACCAGAGAGTGAGACCAGAGAGTGAGACCAGAGAGTGAGACCAGAGAGTGAGACCAGAGAGTGAGACCAGAGAGTGAGACCAGAGAGTGCCATCTCTGGTGTGTCCCTCGTGATGTGTGTAGTTTCAGAACCTTCTGGATCTGGTCTCTACAGGTCCTTGGTCTGCCGGCTCTGGCTGAAGATCCCAAATACAAAACCAACAAGCTACGAGTCCAGAACCGGTCCCAGTTGCTGCCGCTGCTGTCGCTCCGGTGAGAACGGATCTTTCTGGTCCATACAGTCTAAACCATGTGCTGCCTCTGATTGATGGGTGTGTGCAGGTTGGCAGAGGAGAGCACCTGTGATTGGCTGCGAAGGTTTGAGGGATCAGGTGTTCCGGTCGGACCAATCAACAACCTGCAGCAGGTGTTCAGTGACGCCCAGGTGAGCTCGGACTGCATACGCTGCTCCCTCCGCAGTCCCAAACAGGAAACGATCTACACATATTTTAAAAACTCTGCAATACTCTAACTGTGATACAACATTATACAACATTTTAGTCTTGTTTTTGACCTGGTTTAGACCTACTCTATATCTGGTCCAGTGCTGGTATAGTCTGGGTTCAGACCTGGTCCAGACCCGTTTCCAACCTTTTCCAGTCCTGGTCTAGCCTAGCCTTAGCCATCCGTAAACTCCGTTCAATCATCATTTCCCTGCATTTACCGTCTGGGTCGAGTCCCAGTGTCTGCAATTACATCGGTTGAATCCCATCCGACCAATCAGCTAGCGCGGGAGGCGGTTGTTGTAGGTAGCGTCAAGAGTTTGCGCCAAATTGGCTGGTGATAGTTTGGCAATGGTGAAGTAATCCGTTCTGGTTCTATCAAGAAATTGAAGCCTGGCAAAGTTTACTGGCAAAGATTCTGACGGGCTCCGTAGCGGCAAAGGAGATGGCTAAAGCTAGGCTAAATGCTAAATGCCAGCGACTGACTCGCGACTAAACTCAGATCCAATCGTTTCCATCTGCAAAAGGGTTAACCCCTCCCACCTCTTAACTGAGCTCAAATGAGCAAACCCAGACCTTAATAGGAAATGTAATTTGTACGATGGTGTGGTACGGCCAGGCTTGTCCTGGTCCAGTCCTGGTACTGACCTGGTTTAGTCTTGGTTTAGACTTGGTTCAGACCTGGTCCAGTCCAGGTCCAGTCCAGATCCAGTCCAGGTCCAGTCCTGCTTCAAAGCCTTTGTTATTCTGACCTCTGTCCAGAAGTAACTGTGGAGGTGTGAGTGGAAAAAACTGTTCAAATCCAGATTTCAGGGACTCGACCAGGACCCAGAGGTGGAACGGACACAGATCAGGACTATAACCGGACTACAGCGACTCTGGACCCGGTTTTACAAGGTCCAGAGCCAGATGCAGATCTGGGTCTCATTTGAAAGCACAATTTCGAAATGATAGAAGCAGGACAAGAGCATTTCCTGTTTCCATCATATATGGGCAACACGTAACACAAGGTATTTAAGAGTGAGGCTATAGGTAAGAGGGTAAAGCCTAAGCCTGTACCTAAGTGGATATTACGGTTTTAATACGTATCATACCTGTACATGGTGTCAGTGTCCTGCGCTCGTCCTGTTTTTAGGTTGTTGCCTTCTGTTTGTTTCTTACGTGTGTCACAAGTTTAATAGTGTCTATCAATAAAAGGCAAAGATTAAAATGATAAATAAAATGTTTAATAAAAACATGTAATAATGGAATAGGTGTCGATTTGCTAACAAACAGGTAATAAAGGGGGCTAAAAAGATGGATTTAATTAAGGCTAAATGTGTTAAAAGCCCATCCAAAAAGCCTGGGTGTCCACCGTTCCGGCTGAGCCAGCATTGTCACCTCCTCACGGTCACCGCCACAGGTCGCATGGCCAGCGCCCACTGCAAACACCATCCATCCATTTTCTTCCGCTTCATCCGTTGCCAGGACGCGGGGGCAGCAGTCTAAGCAGAAACACCCAGACTTCCCTATCCACACACACTTCCTCCAGCTCGTCCGGGGAGACCCTACACAAGGGTCTACACATTCTGGGCTGCACTGCTTCTGTGCTCACCGCTGAGGGATCCGCGCAGCTCGCACTGCTGCCGCCGTCAGCTCCGGGGCTTTCAGTTTTGATGTTTACGTGTTTTGACCCTGATATATTTTTGGTATATATTTTAAATGGTAGTTGTCACATGGCCAGTGTACACTCATGTGACTTGGACTTTAAAAGGCAGCTTTGAGTGTCTGGGCCTTCATGTCTGATGAAGGGCTTCAGCCCCAAACGTCCGTAAATAAAAGTTTGAGATCAACATAGCTGTGCCGATTTTGATCTTGTTTTATAAAGTTACATACCCCAGCTTTAAACATATGTTATTTACTAGACTAAAGTTTTGTAACCTAGCTTTAATCCACTTAAATTACAATGATTATATTTTTGTGTTTATGACGCAGAGGACAAAACATGGGACATCTGCTCCGTGAGTTTGACAGACAAGGTCTTGGTCCGGACCTGGGACCTGTCAGAACCATGATTAATGAGAGAGTCCAGGTCTGAACCAGGTCTCAACCAGGTTTGAACCAGGACAGGAGTACTTCAGGGAGATCCTGTTTCAGGCACTTGACAGGAGCTGGCCTGTAGTCCAGCTTCAGTGTGGTCCTCTACCTCACCACAAAGATCAGAATGTCTGCCTCCTCCTAATCCAGAGGGAGACCAGAGGGAGAGCTGAGAGAGAGAACAGATAGAGAGACCAGAGAGAGAACAGAGAAAGACCAAAGAGACCAGAGGGAGACGACAGTGCGAAGCCAGTAAGAGAAACCAGAGGGAGACCAGTGGTAGACCACAGAGAGAGGCCAGTGAGAGAAACCAGAGGGACAAGAGGGAGGTCAGAGAGAGACCAGTAAGTGATTAGAGACAGAACAGAGAGAGAGACCAGACAGAGACAATGGGGAGATCACAGAGAGACCAGAGAGATGCCAGAGAGAGAAACCAGAGAGTGACCAGAGACAGAACAGAGAGCGAGACCAGGAAAGACCAGAGAAAGACAAGAGAAAGAACAGAGGGGGAGACCAGAGTGAGACCGCAGAGAGATCACAGGGACACCATAGAGGGACACCAGAGAAAAACAAGAGGGGAGATGCCAAAGAGAGAGACCAGAGGGAGACCACAGAGAGATGCCAGTGAGAGAAACTAGAGAAAGACAAGAGATGTCAGAGAGAGACCAGAGAGAGAGAGAGACTGAGAGAGAGATCAGAAAAAGACCATAAAGACCAGGGAAAGACCAGAAAGGGACCAGAGAGAGACATCAGAGACAGACAAGAGACAGACAACAGGGAGACCAGAGAGAGAGACCAGAGAAAGAGACCAGAGAGACCAGAGAGAGAGACCAGAGAGAGAGACCAGAGAGAGAGACCAGAGAGAGAGACCAGAGAGAGAGACCAGAGGGAGAGACCAGAGGGAGAGACCAGAGGGAGAGACCAGAGGGAGAGACCAGAGGGAGAGACCAGAGGGAGAGACCAGAGGGAGAGACCAGAGGGAGAGACCAGAGGGAGAGACCAGAGGGAGAGAGATTAGAACAAGACCAAAGAGGGAGACCACATTGAGACTATGGAGATGCCAGAAAGAGAACCCAGGGAGAGACCAGAGGGAGAACATATGGAGGTTAGAGGGACACCAGAAGGAGAGAGCCGAGAGAAAGGCCGGAGGGAGACCACATGGAGACCAGAGAAAGAGGGAGGTCGGTGAGAGACCAGGGAGAGACCAGAGAGAGACCAGTAAGAGACAAGAGACAGAACAAAGAGGGAGACCAGAGAGAGGCAATGGGGAGATCACAGAGAGATGCACGATGGGAAAAAACAGAGAGAGACCAGAGAGATACCATAGAGACGCCAGAGATACCAGAAAGAGGCCAGAGGGGGACCACAGAGACACGAGAGAGAACCCAGAGAAAGAGCAGCAAGATCAGAGAGAGAGACGAGGAAAGACCAGAAAAATATCAGAGGCCAGAGAGACACCCGAAAGAGACCCGACAGGGACGAGAAGGAGACAGAAGCAAGACCACAGAGAGACCAGAAAGAGAGGGACCAGAGGACCAGAGAAAGACGAGAGAGAGAAAACGGAGAGAGAGAGCAGAGAGAGACTAGGTCGCTGATCCACCTCTAGTCTGACGTCAGTCCTTCCCTCTCAGAAGTGTCAGACGGAGCTGAGTAAATAGAGGATCGACCTTTTCTCTCGTGTCACGGTGTTCTGAAGGAAACTCACATCTGTTGCGGTGTCATCCTGACCCAGGTCTGAACCAGGTCTGACCAAGGACCGAACCAGAACAGAACTAGGTCTGATCCAGCACAGAACCAGGTCTGAACGAGGTCTGACCTAGGAATGAACCAGAACAGAACTAGGTCTGAACCAGCACAGAACCAGGTCTAAACTAGGTCCAAACCATAACTGAACCAGGTCTGAACCAAGTCTGAACCAGGTCTGAACCAGGTCTGAACCAAGTCTGAGCTAGGTCTGAACAGGTCTGGCCAAGGACCGAACCAGGTCTGAACCAGGACCAAACCAGGACAGAATCTGGTCCTATCCAGCTCTGAACCAGGTCTGAACCAGGAGTGGTGGGACCAGAGAGAGAGACCAGAGAGAGACCCGAGAGAGACTCGGCTCTAAAGTAGGTTCCATAGTAGAACTTAGCAGCTAGGTGTCAGTCATCCCTGATTGAACCTGCCGATGAGATGCCGAATCCAGGTCTGCATGCGTCATCTCAGCGGTGGCAGGTGAAACTGCGCTGACACGTCTCTTGTTGGAGCGCTTCATTGAACACTCACTTCAAACACAGCGTGTGTTCAAAGCCAAGACACCGGGGACTTATGTAAGACGCACCGCGCAGAGGCTTTGAGCGCGGGGTCAGGCGCCGTGCAAACAGCCGCAGCGTGCTTCAAAGACGAGCAACACCAGATCTGCAGCTCCATGTTAAACTACTTCTGCTCATCTGGCCTTAAAGCTGGTGCACCTGCCTCACTGTTATCTCCCTGGTCTACCTCTGGCCTCTCTTTCTGGTTTCTCACTGGTTTCCCTCTGGCCTCTCTTTCTGGTCTGTCTTTGTTCTCTCTATAGTTTCTCTCTGGTCTCAGTCCCGGTCCAGGTCTAAGTTTCAGTCCCAGTCTCTAGAATCCTGTGGTTTGGTTTTGAGCCGATGAGAAAGGTTTTCACTTATTTTCCGTCCAATTACACTAATGATGCTTACAGCGGTGGCCATGGACCAATCCAGACCTAGTCCTGGTCTATTCCCGGCCTGAGGGGCTCCTGACATCCTACCCACACACTCTGCCCCTGAGACCTGGTCCAGACCTGCTTTAGACCTGGGCTTGGTCTGGACTACTCTCACATAGCCTTGTGTTTCTCTCTGATCATCGTTTGTGAACAACTTTTGTTTTCAGGAAGTGTTTTAGGATACTTTGAAATAGAGCCTTGAGGTCTGGTCCTGGTTTAGGTGTGGCCTGGTCTCAGTATAAACCTGGTCAAGTCCTGGTTCACACCTGGTCTGGTCCTGCTTTAGACCTGTTCTGGTCCTGGTTTAGACCAGCTCTGAACCAGGTCTGAACCAGGAGTCATGGTTTTGGGTTTAGAGTCAGCTTTTGCTGCAGGTTGTGACCTAATGCTGCGAACATTTATTCCACGGTTCAAGTCAGACCCATTAATATACCCCTGGGGTATGCAACTTTAAAGATGGGGTATGTTAAAGCCAGAGCTCTGACTGTACAGTAGATGGTCCAGAGCTCTGACTGCAGACGTTGCTCCCTCTTCACCACTAAAGCCTAATACAGCAGCAGCACACTGGGCTGAGCTCCTATTGGTCTGAAAGTTTGACACGGTTACAGTGATAGAATCTCCTTAAGAGGGGAGCGGAGAGAGGAGATGACAGGGGTGAGAGGAGACGAGAGAGTAGAACAGAGAGAGAGGAGAGAAGACAAGAGGAGAGACAAGGGAGAGAGAAGAGAGGAGTGAGGAGAGCAGAACAGAACAAAGAGGAGAGAAGAGACGAGAGCAGAGATGAGAGAAGACAGGAGAGGACACAGAAGAGAGGAGAGGAGGGGAGAGAGGAGACAGAATAGAGGAGATCAAACTTTGTGACAGTTTTTGTTTCAGATGGATTGTTCCAGGGATTGCAGAAAAATAAGCGACAAACTAAGCCAAGAATCTGACTTTTGCCCTTTTACATAGTTACCGTAGTTACCATCGTTACCATAGTTACCAGTAAGCATGTTTTATCTGCGCTTTCTGGAACATCAGTGTTTGGCGGATCAGACTCAGCAACATAATCGTCACATAGTCTTAAGCTCAGTTCTTGAGGCTGAAGGAGGCCTGCAGCTTATGAAGTGCTTTGTGAAATGTGCTACATTCAACAATGTCTTCCACACTTTCAGGTGAAGCACAACGGCCTCCTGCAGCACATCGAGCACCCCACATCCGGAGCCTTGTGTGTCCCAGGTCAGAACCCCTGACTCAAACGTAAATAACATGTTTACAGCTTAGGTACGTAAGTTTAGTCTAAAAAATAACAGATGTTTAAAGATGGGGTATGTAGCTTTAGTCTCACAAATAACGCATGCTTAAAGCTGGGGTACGTAACTTTTGTCTCATGATTTACTGGGCGTGTCTGTGCCCCCCCTGCAGGCCGGACAGGGCAGTGTGCTCTGACCTGTTGTGTAATGTGCTGTTTTGAGGCAGAAGCTCGTTAATTGCTGAATGGAGAAGAGTTTTTTTTTTTCTCAATGAACCAGGTTTTGAATGGGGCAATCATGCGCAGAGACGTGCACGTGTGGCAGCGTGCACATATGGTGAGCGTGCACGTGTGGCGAGCGTGCACGTGTAGCAAGCGTGCACGTGTGTCTGTGAGAGAACGCCTCATTAAAGAGGAATGAGGATGTTTCCATAAATAAACAGTTTGTCAGATCCAAGACACCAGGCACAAAAGGTCTGCTCTCATTTGCCCGAGTCGACAAAACAAGCCCAAAAGGTTCATTGCAGCAGCCTGAGAGTCACAGGCTGAGACCCAGGACTGAGGCTGAGAGACCAGGTCTGAGGCTGAGACCAGGACAGAGGCTGAGACCTGGACCAAGACTGTATATCCAGGAATTAGTGTGTAGATTCACGACTGAGGCTGTACATCCAGGACTGAGGCTGTACATCCAGGACTGAGGCTGTACATCCAGGACTGAGGCTGTAGATCCAGGACTGAGGCTGTAGATACAGGACTGAGGCTGTAGATCCAGGAATGAGGCTGTAGATCCAGGTCTGAGGCTGTAGATCCAGGACTGAGGCTGTAGATCCAGGACTGAGGCTGTAGATCCAGGACTGAGGCTGTAGATCCAGGACTGAGGCTGTAGATCCATGACTGAGGCTGTAGATCCATGACTGAGGCTGTAGATCCATGACTGAGGCTGTAGATCCAGGACTGAGGCTGTAGATCCAGGACTGAGGCTGTAGATCCAGGACTGAGGCTGTAGATCCAGGACTGAGGCTGTAGATCCAGGGAGTGAGGCTGATAGCAGGAATGAGGCTGTAGATCTACGGATGGAAACTAGCCATGAAATCCGGTGTATTTACAGGTCTACTGTGCATTCTAGTGTGCACACTGTCCCATTCAAAGAAATACAAAAAAAAAAAAAATCGTGAACCTAGGCTGTAGATCCAGGACAAAAAAAAGACCTTTCCACTATTGTTCATCTTCAGCCTAAGGATAATACACCTATGTTACAGACCTCACATTTAGCGGTGTTTTTTGTGAGGTATTTGACACAGTTGTAATGTGAGGTCTGTAACACAGGTGTAATGTGAGGTCTGTAACACAGGTGTAATGTGAGGTCTGTAACACAGGTGTAATGTGAGGTCTGTAACACAGGTGTAATGTGAGGTCTGTAACACAGGTGTAATGTGAGGTCTGTAACACAGTTGTAATGTGAGGTCTGTAACACAGGTGTAATGTGAGGTCTGTAACACAGGTGTAATGTGAGGTCTGTAACACAGGTGTAGTGTGAGGTCTGTAACACAGGTGTAATGTGAGGTCTGTAACACAGGTGTAATGTGAGGTCTGTAACACAGGTGTAATGTGAGGTCTGTAACACAGGTGTAATGTGAGGTCTGTAACACAGGTGTAATGTGAGGTCTGGAACACAGGTGTAATGTGAGGTCTGGAACACAGGTGCAATGTGAGGTCTGTAACACAGGTGTAATGTGAGGTCTGTAACACAGGTGTAATGTGAGGTCTGTAACACAGGTGTAATGTGAGGTCTGTAACACAGGTGTAATGTGAGGTCTGTAACACAGGTGTAATGTGAGGTCTGTAACACAGGTGTAATGTGAGGTCTTTGAACTGTGGCCCTGGTAGTGTCCCAGTTTCCTCAAAATTTTATGGCCCTGGACAGTTTTAGTATCTGTCTGGTCACTCTCTCTGCTCTGGTCCGGTCTCTGGTCTCTGGTCTCTGGTCCGGTCTCTGGTCTATAGTTTGTATCTAATGAAGCAGAGGGGACATTCTGTTGTCGTTCATCCGGGTCACAGGGTAAAAATAACTTGAGACTTTCACTGTCAGTTAGACCGCCATGAGGCCGACGCACACACGCACACGGCACACACGCACACGCACACACACATGTATATGTTGCAGTGTACAAACAAGGAGCTCCTAAAAAATACATAAGTCAGTAAGTGTTAGTGAGCTCTGATCCTCTTTCAGGGCCGGCCGTGCGCTTCAGCTCCTTCTTGCCGTTAGACCCCGCCCCCCCTCCTCTGATTGGCCAGCATACAGTCAGCGTTCTGACAGGAAGTCTGAACTACAGCGAACAGGAAGTGACGTCACTCATGCAGAGCGGCGCCGTGGCCCAGTATCCTGACATCTGATTGGACCAAACCTGACGGACCTGCTACATCATAGATGAGCTGTGAAGATCTGTGTAGTCATAGATTTGGGGTGATCTGTGATGTCATATTGGTGGGAATCTCTTTAGCATACAATTTAAAACTTGATGTCTTTTTATTTTTACTCTGAAACCGTTTCATTGTTGAGTCATTCTGTCTCAGGATAGAATGACTCAACAATGTTTTCAGGTTTGAATAATGCTTCATGAGACACTTCAGGGCTTTTCTGTCCAGTCTCCAGACTCACAACCAGAGTGTAACAGACGTGTGTGTAACAGACGTGTGTGTAACAGACGTGTGTGTAACAGACGTGTGTGTAACAGACGTGTGTGTAACAGACGTGTGTGTAACAGACGTGTGTGTGGTAACAGACGTGTGTGTGGTAACAGACGTGTGTGTGTGGTAACAGACGTGTGTGTGGTAACAGACGTGTGTAATTCACTCTGGAGAGACTTGAATAGACAAAACAGGGGTTTTATTGGAGTTGTATATTGGTTGGAAACTGACACTGCATAAATTAGTACGTATGACTATGATGAATACAATACATATTTGCAAGATTAGACTTATTGCATGCTATACGAAAAATGTGGTTAAGATTTGGCGCTTAGACACCAGCAGAGCACTACATGAGGATTTCAGAAAGATAGCGATTATGTGATGACATCCCTGGGGCCTAGACCCTGGGGGTGGTAGCTAGAGAAGGGTGAAGTAAGTAAGTCATCTTTATTTATATAGCGCACAAAGCGCTTTACAATTGTTGTGGGCATTTTGTCTCTCACTCTTCAGAGAGATGGGAGTAAGGTCGCCAGTACAGGAGGCACAAGCCAGACCTATTGTACATATTAATAGTGGTAGGGGAAACTGGAGCACCTGGAGGAAACCTACGCAGACATGGGGAGAACATGCAAACTCCACTCGGAAAGGCCCTGTTCCGACCGGGATTTGAACCCCGGACCTTCTTGCTGAGAAGCGAGAGTGCTACCCACTCAACCGCAGTGCAATGCTTGATTAATGCCAGGTCGGCATGGATAGTGTAGCTCCGCCAGCTGAGTGTGATTGACTGATGCTGTTGTTGTGAAGCAACAGCGGGAAGACTTGGCGCGTAGTTCTTCTGTCTTCCAGTCTGAATTTCCGCTCCATCTGTATGTGATAGATGTGTGGATCAGATGTGTGTCACAGACGAGTGTATCAAATAAGTGTGTAACAAATGTGTGTAACAGACATTTATGTGACAAACTCTGTTGTCTTAATGGTCTCTCTCTCTGGTATTTTTGTGATCACTCTCTGGTTTCTCTCTGGTCTCTCTCTTTGGTCTCTCTTTCTCTGCTCTCTTGTGGTGGAGGTTCTGTCCTGATCTGAGGTCAGTGATGTTTAAGTGAAGTGCGGCTGCAGCTTAGTGAAACTTTAATGTTGGAGAAGCACGTATGTTCCTGACTGACCTCATTTACCCAGATTCACACTCACACACACACACATATGCAGACAAACACACATACACACACACACAAATACAAAAACACACACACATCCCAAAACATTTTTTTGTGGCAAATTGGAATTTTGATAAAACCTAAACTAAGAATATATATTCCGTTAAAAGAAAATTTCAAAACAGAGTTTTACGTCACAGCAAATTTGTCCATTAATCATAGAACTTTGATGGCTCAGTTACGTACCGGAATTCTTCCATAAGCTTTAGAAACGGGGAGGTTTTCACAGACCCCTGAGGAGAAGAGACTGTGTGTATTTTGTGAACTCAATGAAGTGGAAAGTGAAGTGCATATTTTTCTTATATTGTCCTTTTTATGATGAATTTAGTTGTTTCATGAAACATTCTCCCAGGATCTTGATTTGTTTTGGGGCAGTGATGATGACAAGCTGATATTTTTATTTGAAAATAAAGTGTCTTCATTTTTAAGTATAGCCTGGAAGAAGCGGCAGTCTCATCTATTTAAATGAAAGCATTTGTGTTTGATTTTGTTTATGATTTTTTTTATGAGCCTGATGTTGGCCTGTGTCTCTGTATTTGTGTAAATGGTGTCTTATAAGCCCATGTGGGCTGAGCATCGTTGTATGAAAGACACTATAATAAAAAAATATCTATCTACATACAAATACCACATGCATACATAGAAATACACCCATGCAAATACACACACACGCACACGCACACGCACACGCACACGCACACGCACACGCACACACACACACACACACACACACACATATACAGACACACACACACTCCAGCCGCTTTCATGTATAGGGCTTTTCACAACACACTGCTTTGCTTTTATCCACTCAAAGTCCTATAGTTTGAGTCTGTTAAAGCTGAGGTGAGTAACTCTCAAACCACACCAATCTCTAGAGTTGCTTTTATCAATTTTTTTTGGTCATGTATTTGTGGCCCATGTTACATCTTTAGATCAGCATTTTCAGGTAGAGAAGTGAAAAAAAGGACCTCCCTCACTCAGCCAATCAGCTCTCTGCCAAAGAGTCTCTTGGCTCTTTCTTACACAAAAGATAACGTGTTTTCTTATAGGAGCATTTGACATAACTCTTTCTGTTGGACAAGATAGCAGACTATTTTTCAATGGACTGCACCTGGACTGGACCTTGGAATAGGTATGTGGTCCTGTGGCTTCAGGTTTTTAAAACTTGATCTTGTAACCTTCACCAGACCTGAACTGGTCTTGGTCGCACAAGGACTTTGTGGGCTTGTGTCGCTACCAGATTTGGTTCCAGACCAAGACCTGACCTGGACAGCACCTGAACTGGACCTGATCCTTACCTGTGTTTAGCCCCCTACACTCTGTTACCAGGAACTTCCCAATGCCCTTTCCGTCTCAGTGCTCTGCTCTCAAACTGTGTGTGTGTAAAAAGTGCTGTTGGCTGGCCTTTGACCTGGTCTGAACCTGGTCTGAACCTGGTCTGAACCTGGACTGACCCTGATCCCCACCTAGGTCCAGTCCCGGTCTTGTTTTGTGTTTTGTCTGTTTTAATTGGGGAATGTTTCCGGGATCAAAGACTCAATTCATCAGAGAATGTAAACAGCAAGCCTCACGAAGAACCAGATCTTAACCAGTACTAAACCAGGATTAAACCAGGACTAAACCAGGACTAAGTCAGGACTAAACCAGGACTGGACCACGTCTGACACTTTGTGTGTGTCTTTTACAGTTGTAAAAGCAAATCGTAGTGTAAGGAGTTAGAAAAGCGAGCATTAAGACAGAAGGAGCGGGGGCTGTGGCTGTGTCATGGCATGTCTCATGTTCCAAACTGCAGCTGCAAAGGCTCATGGGAGATGTAGTCCTATTGTGAGCAGCTGGACGTCACATGTTCAGGCTCCAGGCGTGTCCTACAGAAACACGTTGTGTTTCCTGCTCGTCAGTGTGAGGGTGGGCAGCATCATGCTGTGGTCAGAGGAGACCAACACTAACACTGCTCTTCAGCAACAATGTGTGAGGTGAGGCTGCTTTTCTTCAGCAGGGACAGGGCAGAGTGTCAGAGTGAATGTATGGAGCTACATACATCAACCAGTGGCCAGATCTTGTCAGACCTCAGAGGCTAAGCAGAGCAGGGCCTGGTTATTATTACGATGGGAGACCTGTGTCTGTATGTGTGTATATGTATGTGTCTCTTTGTTTGTATCTGTCTGTGTGTGGGTGTGTGACTGACTGTGTATCTGTGTGTGTGTCTCTGTGTGTAATAGATTGACCTAACCCAAGCAGAGGAAGTATTGTGTCATGTTTTCCAGTGAAAGAAATGTTTCGTCCTGAGGTTGAACTGGGTGTGTGTGTGTGTGTGTGTGTGTGTGTGCGCGCTGATGAGAGGAGCAGACGTCTGGGAGAGTGTGTGTCTTTTGTTTGGGTCTCATAGAAAATGGGGATTCCCTCAATCTGAGTTCAGTCCTAGTTTAGTCCTGGTTAAGTCCTAGTTCAGTCCTGGCACAAACCAGGTTCAGTCCTGGTTCTGGTTTAGTCCTGAGTGCAGTGGCTTTAAAAGTTCCTATTTCTGTTTTCAATTTTGATTAATGGCCGTTCATACAAATAGATCTGTACCAGGTTTGAACCAGGACTGAACCAGGTCTGAACCAGGTCTGAACCAGGTCTGAACCAGGTCTGAACCAGGTCTGAACCTGGTCTGAACCTGGTCTGAACCAGGTCTGAACCAGGTCTGAACCAGGTCTGAACCAGGTCTGAACCAGGTCTTAACCAGGTCTTAACCAGGTCTTAACCAGGCCTGAACCAGGCCTGAACCAGGCCTGAACCAGGCCTGAACCAAGCCTGAACCAAGCCTGAACCAGATCCAGTACCAGACCCAGCCTAAGATTCAAACCGGAACTGTGTGACGCAAAACTCCTTCTGGACCCAACTCTTCCATTACCTTCATTATCCACCCACAGTGGGTCCAAGTCCAAGTCTGATTCTAGGCCAAGACCTAAGTCCAAGACTGAGGAGTGGGACTGAACCAGGACTGTACCATGTCTGATGGAAGACTTATCAGGAGTCATTTAGAGGAAGTGATAAGACTGAGTTTAATTCCAGGGACTTGAGTCTAGACTGAGGCCAGTCCAGGATTAGGACGCATCTGGGACTTCCTGGTCCGGGTCTGGACCAGGATTGGACTCGGCACATTTGAGTCTTTATGAGTTTAGCCCCAGGGCCCTGCAGCTGCAGCCAGAGAGTAGTAGCAGCAGCATGAGTAGTAGTAGTGGAAGCATTAGTATAAGTAGTCGCAGTCATACTTGTGTAGTAGTATGGCAGCATGGTGGCGCAGTGGTTACCTCCCAGACCTTTCTTTGTGGAGTTTGCATATTCTCCCCGTATCTGCGCTGGTTTTTGGTTTGGCATGAATGGCAACCCCGCTCCCATGTGTGGAGTGAAAACAAAAGCTTTATAATATAAGATTGCTTACTTTCTTTTGGACTGTCCAGACTCTGAAGTCCACAGTCTGGACTCTGAAGTCCACAGTCTGGA